ACCCGGCAGCAAATTTTGGGAATATTTTAATGCTCCAAAAAGTTTTCAATTTGAAGCGATAAAAAATTAGTTTTTTCCGTTAAAAAGAGATTGACCTTCAATCTCGTGTCGAGCAGTGAAGCTTACAGTTTTTCAAATCCCAGTGAAGCTTACAGTTTTTCAAATCCAGCTTTTTTTTTAATTCCTAGGAGTTGAAGCAGCTAAACAATAGCTCGCTCAAGACCAGTCTAATTACTGTGCATAATTTATTTACGCCTCCAAATTATTGCGCTATGGAATCGAAATTTTGGTATTGCCGCAGTGACATCATCCTGGCTCTGGTAACATCAAGACAATGGTGCAGAGCTGCTCGACATGTGAGCACGCGTAAAACATAAAACCTAGAAGACCATCTGGAGACCAAAATGGCATACATTTAGTTTTGATAGCTGCAGGTATCTCCAGTGCATGCTTCAGCGTTGCGGTCATATAGAACGAGAGCATCGGCCCAGTCGGCGAGTGCACCGAGAAGGTAACGAACGGAGAAGCTCTATGAATTATTGATGTGGAGCTGTTATTCGAGAACCGGACGCATTGCCGCTCATGTGAGGCCATTGTGTCTGTTTCTGCGCGGACAATGACCACGTCTTGGCCCAAGATGAGGAAATTTCGATGAAGCAGTAAACCGAATTTATCATCTGCACAGACTTTAGCGTCATTAACCATGTGCATCCAACGTACGTAGTGTGTGTATTCAAATTATTAATATTTATGCTTGACACTTGACTTTTCCTAGAATTCCCCGAAAACCCACAGCAGAATTGACAGAAAATTGTGCTTCTTTTTAGCACTCTTCCTATCTGTTTGTTATATTTTTTTTTAATTAGTTCAGTTATATACGCAGGCAAAGGGTTCCTTAATTTTATTCCATATTGGCGAAAATTCAACAGCTAATAGATTGTAAAGCAGCATCGAAATATTTCTGATGAATTCAGAATAAAAAGCACAAGTTAAGCGATCTGAGGAGCATAATGCAGGACATTAATACTAGTATGATTTTATGTTTAAAGAAAATTTAAAGGAAAGCAAGAGCTCGCATTAGCAAGTCAATATGCGGATAAATTGTTTCAATGAATAAGCAAAACATGTTGTGGTAAACTTGAAAGGAAAGCAAACCAAACTGAAAAAAGATAATTGAATAATGAGTATTTATCAGAGTTTCATTCAAAAATAAAACGTAGATTATTTCAAGCCAGTGGTGAGCGAGAGCTACAACTACAACCAGTCGAAATCAGAATGGACACTTGGATACACATACAATATATCTTTCCGTTTTTTTTTTCAAGTAAACTCAATGAATTTTCAGTCATAAAGCACATGAAACTTTTAAATTATAACTAATTAAATCAGCTTCTGCATCATCCCTAAGTATCCTTGGCCATTTTCAAGACTCAAAATAACACGCACACCCAAATAAATAACAAAATGCTACGTGTTAACAATTTAAACAAAAAATATTAAAACTCAATTGGAATTTAATGGAAAATATAAAACACATTTCCAGATGTAAAAAACGGTTCCAAATTATCAAAAACGTCGAATAAATTAATGTAACTTTGAAGATAGTTAAAGATGAAGTATTTTAAAAACATACTCGTCTGGTGCGACTGTACCTAATTCCCACTCACCTGCTTACAGTGAACGTCTTAAAGGAGTGAATAGCAGCAGACTGTACTTTTATATAGTTTATTTTCAGTACACTTTGTTCTCTAACTCATTCAATAAAATTTGAGGCCTAATTCCTCCACTTTGTTGTTAAAACAGGTTCATAAAAAAATCTCGATCCACTCATTCAAATCTCTCACAAAAAAGTGGTTGGCAATTTCCAGCTGTTTCAGCAATAACTTTCATACCTTAAACTGTACGCTTGTAAGGGCTGAGCTATGGCCTTACATTACCAACATGAGTCCTATGAAATGAAACCTTGGATAGTCCGTCTATAATTATGAGATTACTTCAGTACGGCACGCAATACAGACATGCTTTATTCTTGCACAAATTATAATACTCCACTGACAAAAAATGGCACCCACGGTCGCTATACGAACTACCCAATAGTGAAAGATAGGGGAATCGGAGATGGCAAAATATCTGCCGTTTAGGAACCAAAGAAGCCACAATGAATATTTTTTGCCAGATAATAATTGTCGCGCTTGTGATTTATGATCACGCTGATGTCTTTGTTATTGTCATGGTACGGTCCTTATGTCTAGAACGAACTTACGTGCCAGGCTAGGTACCGGTTTTAAAGCTTCCTTAGATCGATCCGTGTTCTAAGGTCACTGCAACCCTTGATGCCCAACATTAATAAGGATCTTGGCGGGCGTGGAGGTCTAACTCGCCGTCGCCGGACTGCAATACTTGTTTTTCGTGGAGTTTATGAAGTATAATGGACATTTGTGTCAAAAGTATAGATTCAAAAGAGTTTACATTTTAAAAATGCTCAGTCTTCCATCTAAGTGACTTTGCTGCTTTATTTTTACCGTTGAATTTTGCTTCAAGAGGAAGTGGTGCTGAAAATGCAAAGTGGCAATAAGGTCCAAGCGCAGCGATGCGCGATGTGTCTTTCGTCAGTGACCACTGCACTGGCTACTCAAAAATAATCCAACTCCAAAAAAATTGTGCTACGCCAGTTTTCATTCTCGGTGCTCACTCCCTAGACTTAAATTTATAACTCATGTGAAAATTTGCAGTTGAATTTAGCAGTGTGCTAATTAATCTAAAGTAAAATCATTGGATATTAAAAAAACAATTCGCACTCATTAGAACCATTATTGCGTTTAACTGTTTAAGTAAGGAGCAATATGAATAAAGAAAACTTCCCTATTTATATTATTTCTAGAACATCATATGTAACTACCATGTAATGTCCAAGATTACTTTAAACACCATGCGGCCACTAATCTACTAGTGTCCCTTCATCGGTAGCATCTTGAACAATATCCCAGCATGCGTCTAGTGACCTGTCAGAGGAAGCGATTTTAGGAGCGGCGCACCACCACACACAACGCCGTACTGCAGGCAACTGAGCAGCAGAGTGAGCAGACCGAATAGCGATTTCATGTGAACTTCGTGTACTCGTAGTTTCAAGATAAAGGATTCAGCGGATTACAACGAAGTGCCGCATAGTCAATTCAGACAGAAGTTGTGCATGGTTGAACTAGTATATATCATGCCATGAGTATATATAGTTCAACCATGTATAACTACACTAGTATATATAGTATATATAAAATGTATAAAAAAAATTTTTAAAGACCACGTTTTTCATGTGGACTCAAAAGTAGAAAATAATTTTTCGGCAGCTACTGATCTCTGTTTGCTTTCATTCTCTTGGTCTTTTGTATTTCAGTTAAAATATTTTACAACATCTAAAACGAAAAACGTGGGGCGCATATGTATTTAATTGTTTGGTGATTACTTGATATGATGAATATGATGGTTCATTGAACATTTGATAAGTGTATTGCTGATATAATTAGAAATAGTGGTTGAATTCAAAATTGAAATTAAGGCATGCCTAAATGAAGATGCGCCCCACGTTTTTCGTTTTAGATGTAAAATATTTTAACTGAAATACAAAAGACCAAGAGAATGAAAGCAAACAGAGATCAGTAGCTGCCGAAAAATTATTTTCTACTTTTGAGTCCACATGAAAAACGTGGTCTTTAAAAATTTTTTTTATACATTTTATTTTCTACTTTTTAGTTTTTTAAGTATTTTATTTTCTCATTTTTAGTCCGTTGCTACACACGAAACACGTTGTTGCGAGCCAATTTACTTGACTTGATGTACGTATCGATGATACGAAGCGTATCATCGATATACGCAGTCTAAACACGAATATCCTCTCGAGGATGACGTGCATTAAAGGTTCCAACCCCTGCTTGTGAGTTCCTTTAGAGTTTATACGCCTGGAAACGTGCAACAAATTATTGATTATTGTATTGTTATCGGGAGCTGAGCTTCCCTAAAAGTTTCAGAGCGCTAGCTAATGAGAAAGTTGGTGAAATATCGATTGCAAGATTTGATCATCACAGACACGAAAGCGAGCTAAGAAAAACGTGGTAATATAGTAATTAGTAAAGTATATATATATACATAGTAACTAGTGTAGTATATACATGTATATATAGTTCAACCATGGAAGTTGTGAGCAATGCACTTCAGGTTCGTATAAAAATATAGAACTTTCAAGTTTAGTCTCCGTTGAACGTTTATGTAAATTGGATTTTACATATGGAATAATTTATTTAATTAATTTCATCGAATGCGTTCGATATTTCAGCCCAATAATATCACTGCCCAGAAACGATAACAGGCTAGATGCCATGCTCAATGTATTGCGCGATTTCCTAAGTTTTGGAAATAAAATGGGCAAGCTGGATTATATTGTGCCATCTAGGGGTTAATTAACACATGGAAATTTAGAAAAAGGAAAATCACTCGAGAAATTCCGGTTTAAATCGAGACAAACATTAACCCAACAAACTTGCTGTGTCATGTATCATATAACCGAATCATATTTTAAAAATTCAACCTTGAGCAAGGAAGCAACAGGAGATCGCCCAAGATAATCCAGAAGTACATATTGAGAAAGGTCAAGTTTTGGGTGAAATATTTTCTCGTATGAATAAATTTGTTGATTCAGAAAAAAGGAATCAATGAGAGTCGGTCTCTGTTCACGCGGTGTTTACTAAAGGCACGGAAGGAAGTGGTTACGCATTTCACAAGGATGAGCATTAAATGTTACATTCTTTGGTGTAAGTTAATTGGCTGAACGCAAGCAAGGAAATACAATGTCAGCACATGCTTTTGACAAGAAGCTGAGCGTTGCTATTTATTTAAGGCCTGCCGCTAAACTCAAACCGAACTTTATACAATCATCAAACTAAATTTTTATCAAATAAAATAAATAAAATACAATTTCCGTACAAATTGCTGGTCAAATAAATTACAACTAAGAATTCGAAAAAGTTTTTTTGGAAAGTACACTTTTAATGGATCCAGGAGGCAAAATATTTTTAATTTTACATTTTGAGCTGTCACAAATGACACAAATGACAGAGATTGAAAAATAAAAAACAAAACATTATATGAAAGTGAAAGCTTTAAACAGATTACATTTCAGTCTTGATATCATGTAATTTACATCAACTGTCATGATTTACATTGGTAAAAGCCATTCCAACCACGACACAGGGGTTAGTCACGTCAAGAGCTCGAAGTAAAGAATTTAATTAACTTTATATTAAAACTAATTTCTTAAGACACATCGAATATTATTTCCGGTTAGTAGGACAATACTTGAACAGTCTCTGCAAATAAACTTCTTATTTTTAGTCGTTTAAAAAAACGTCAACCTTTTAAAAAGTAGAAGAATGTCTCTGTTTTTTGACACTGAATAATTAAAGCGGCAACCGCGAAAAAATCTGTATGAAGAAATCGTTAAGAGACTGATTTTCGTCGAGACAACAAATTCTTAATATGATTATTTGATTGCAAAAAATAAGTGCTTTTTGGGATTAATTAATCATTATGAATAATTATTGAAAAAATCATGTTTAAACATTCCAAGAATAAAAAATAGGCAGTATCGAAAGCGACTGCTTGAGAGACCGAATAATAGGATATCGATGGCGAATAATTTTTCGTACAACGTGAACGTTATGAATTCAATGGTGAATTGAGTTGGAACACCTGAATTATATCTCAAATAAAATCAGGTACTTTCTGAACCAAACGGATCTCGCTGAATACTTGTCATGAACATAGTGAACAGACTTCAAAACGTACCACGAAACAGGAGTTCATCCGTTTCAGAAATGCCAGATCAGATACCCTAAATGAAAAACTGATCCTAATAAGTTCTTCAAAGAAAAACTACAACTTGACTATTATCAGGGTATTAGGTACAAAGCGTTTTAAGATTTACTCTCGCTCACAAACAAACGACGATGTGACACTCATTAAGTTCTACGCACGAGGCATGCAAAGGATTAGTTTGCTATATATTAAGGCTCTAGCTTAGTCTGCCGGTAACAGCCATCTGGCAAGGATATCTTGATCTCATAGATATTCCTAACTTCGAGCTGCAGGAGTCTGATCTCCTCCATGTAATTGGAAATTTGTTTCTGCTGCCATGTGCGTGCGGCGGAAAGTTCGGCGACGCTTGACTCGATGCCACTCATCTTGTAGGTGTTGGTCGCGGCCTCCAGACGACGTTCCAGAGCATCCAGAACTTCTGGGTCCAGATCTGAGACTTGGTCCAGTAGCTGCATGATCTCAACCACCATGTGCTGCGCCTCCTGGATCTTTTGACTGGCAGCCAGAGCACGACTCCTTGCTGTCGTCGCCTGTTCTTGCGCCTTCGCCAGTAAACAAGAAAATTAGAATGTTTTCTATTAAAAGATGCCTGAATGATTAAGGATTTATATCTCCTACATTTCATCTAAGTTAATTTAGACCAAGTGAAAAAAATAATTGTTAGATATTAGGAAAATTTATAGTTTACAAGAGCCCTTCTAACCTAGAAAATATTTTCTATCAATAGATACCTAAATAACATATGGTGTAAATCTGCTCTGATTGATTTCTGATATTGTATGAGTCAATTCATAACACGTGAAAAAAAATTAAAAAAAAAACATAATAAGAAATTTTATAGAATACGGGAGCATGGAGCTATAACTCATAAAAATAAATGTAATAAAAGCAGCGAGTACTTATTTCTGCGATGATTTTGCAAAGAACTTTAGTGCGCCTCACCCTCAAGACAAGGACGCTGTCCTCCTTGGCCTGGTCCTCGTGTTTCTTGAGCCTCGCATCGGCGCCTTTGACGGCGTCGCTGAGGCTCTCCGCCTGCAGCTTCAGCTCGCTCGCCTCCAGCCTCGTCGAGTCCGACCGAGTCCGAACCTTCAGATGCGGCATTAAAATGAAAATTAAATTCGCAATATTACCTATTTCAAGGTAGATTTGGATTTTAATGAAATTTGCACCGTCAAAAACTGATATAGGTGATCGGAGGCAAAAAAATATACCTACAATATTTCTACTAGATAGTGAACCTGAAAAGATATTGCTTTAACCTTTTTACATACATAATCATAGGGAGATGAATTCAAAATTGGTGTGTAAAAATGAATCATGTTTGGTAATGATAACAAGAGCAAATTTTAAAGTGATATATCAGGGTGATCAATATAATTCAAATTGCAAAAATTTTAAAATGGAAATATTTGCACGATCATCCTTTGAATCGAAACCGCATTGGAATAGTATACTAAAATCGGCAAATTATAATTGCGCCGAAGAAAGGGAGCATTACTAGAATGCTATTGATTATTGATTAGGTTTAGATTTATAACACGACCTCCCAAACCTCCCACACCCCATGCCTCAACTTGGCTCAGTTACCAAGGTAAACCTCGGTTGTTTGTGATGGTTGGAAGATTCAGCATCTCATTTGAGGAGATAAATTTTAATAACGAATGTAGCGTTTAGTCAAGTTCACAAATGATCAATAATAGATACGCTTTTCATTCCTTTCCACGGAATGTGGTTTGCAATCGTATTTGCATAGACGGGACCGAAAATTAAGAAAGAAAACCGTGAGCTTGCGACAACCACTTGCCCCAAATACATTATACTGCCATTCTTGAGTCCAAATAACGAGAGAAGTAAACAAAAATATCTTTTCCGGAAGAAAAACTGCTACAAAAATTACAAAACCGTTCGCATAAAACTAATAAGCTATAATTCTAGCCCCAGGCAACTGTAAATGAGCTTTTTTTTAATCAATTAATTTTCCCAAGCCGAGCAACCAGCCAGCGACTATAATTTCTCATCGACGTTAATTTAAAACGTCAATCGTTCAATACCTCTCCGGCCTCCTTGCTGGCCTCTTCAGCAGTCTCCTGCGCCTGCTTCGCGATGTCCTTAGCGCGCCGGGCGTCCACCTCGGCGCCCGTGAGAGCGTTCGCTGCCTCTTCGGTCTGCGACTCCGCAGTATCGATGAGCCGCTCGATCTCAGCGATGCGACTCAGCGCTTCGTCAGCAGCAACCTTGCTGCTCTGCACTTGCTTGTCAAACTCTGCGCAATTATTGCACAAATAATCAAATACATACTTTATATCAGCGCCTGTCATCAACATCAATTGTAAAACGAAAATTTATTACGGAGAAAAATCGAGATCAACATAAAGAAATGCGAAGTAATGACGGAAAAAATCAAAGTGGTACGAGCTCAAGCTCACGTTGCTTAGCGATTGACGTGAAGATGCAATAATTTAATAAAGAATAGCCGATAATTTTCTCGTCGTATTTCATAAAAGTACTCCAATATCCAATAGAAATGGCAAATCTTACGTCATGTTACTATTCCAGAGTTCTACGCTACCATATATATCAACGCGTAACAAAATAAGGAAGATGAATCGGTCACTAGTGAAATAAGGTAAAATTATCACAATAGTATGCATTTTAGTACATTTTAAAAGCGAGAGACGTCACTGTGTACGAACCTTCCAGTATCATGAGCGTGTTCTGCGCCTCCTCGAGTGTCTTGTCTGCCTTCTTTACAGCCTCTTCCGCCTTCTGCTTGTTGCCGAACACCTCAGCAAGAAGCTCGGCTGTGACTTGTTGCTGCAGGATACCTCTTTCCAAAAGGTCCTTTGCTCTTTCGATTTCCACTCCGATTTCGACCAATAAATTTCCCTTTTCTTTGGTCAGAGCGTCGAGCTCTGCTTTGATCCTGATGGCAGTTTCCTTGATATCCTGAGCTTTCTGCCTCAGCTGTGGCACGTCGATGTTGGGGAGGGGGATCCCCGAGGCTTGGGTGCTGAGGGACAGGGCCTCAGCGTAGACGACAAGCGCCCGGGCCAGGGAGGAGCGGGCCCGGGCCATGGTGCTGTTGTGCAAGCCCTCCAGGTCGTCCATGTCGTCATTCAGGTTCTGAACAAAAATGAAGAGAAATAAGTAGTGAAGCTTGAGGTTGTGTATGTGAATCTTTTAATGTGTTCCCTGTACGTTAAAAAAATAACAATTCATAAAAATAGATGGAAAAATTGACTGAAACTTAATGAGAGCTTGTAATGATGATTTCGAAAAAAATATGCGTTACTTTGATATATGAGAACAATGAGAATAATTTTTAGAACAATTGAATTCTGATCAATTACGCTAACAATTATAAGTGATAATAGTTCAATGAATTTCAAAGCCAGCGAGAAAGATTAATCTAACAATTATTGATGATATTATTTATTATAATGTCATACCCTGATGATGGCGGACATGTTGGCCTGATCATCGAGGGCCTTGCGTGCGAGCACGACGGCATCATGGGAGGTGTTGCGCGCCTCGTACGCAACCTCCTCGATGTGCGTCGCCTGCTCCTCTTGTCTGCAACATTTTGGTGTTAGATACATACATCATGGTGCAGCACATTAGTATTGTACACATGCACATCATGGTGCAACACATTAATTTTGTAGACACGTACGTCGCGATGCAACACATTAATGTTACAGACATATACATCATGGTGCAGCACATTAATTTTGTAGACATTCAAATCATGATGCAACACATTAATGTTGCAGACAAGTACAATATGGTGATTGCTGCCACTAATGTTTCGTTTTCATATATTTCCGTTACAACATTTATGCGAACGTAATGTGAAGGTAATAAAATATGTCTCAGTTATTCAAGCTATGAACCCACGCATCAGCTTTTTGCCGAGCGTTCCTGGCGATCTGTGACATGCGTGCGGACTGCTGTCCGAACTCCGTCGAGCGCGCCATGGCTTTGTTCAGGGCCTCGTTGCCGTCGATCTGCAGGTACGTCTCGGCGTCCTGTGGGGGGGAGGAGCAAATATAATTGGAATCGTCGCTTCAGTCGGCCTACATTTTTAGAAATCGCTGCACAAATTATTGATACAGACGATAAATCACTAAACAAATTATTACTACACAGGATAAATCACTACACAGGATACATCGCTACACACATTATTGCTACACACGTAAATCACTACACAAATTATTGCTACACACGTAAATCACTACAAAAATTATTGCTACACACGATAAATCACTGCATAAATGATTGGTCATCGAGCGTTCAGTAGCCAGTTATTTTCTAGTGGATTTTGTCATAGAGTCTAAACAGATCCAGAAGTAAGCTAGTGAAACGTTTGACGTACGAAGTAGTACTGGGGCAGTGCATGAGGCCAGAGCTAAATCTGAGTCGGTAAATTGAATACATGGAAGCAGAGACACAATATATTATAGCGGCGACCTGTGGGCACGGAACAAGAGGAACGGTCAGGGTGATAAGTTGAAATTGGAGGAGCCGTTGAGTGAACGCAACAACGCCTTTCCCGTTAGGTTTAAAACACCGCACAAGTTGTAGGTAATCACTGGGGAGTTCTCAAAGGGTAGTTCTTTAGTTTCAACAGAGTAGTGAGGCCGAAGGAAATTTCCCAACGAGTCATCTTGAGAGGTAACATGAAAAGTTGAATAAGCTCAGTAATGAAACTTTATTGATCAAGTAGTGATTTTATGTGCCACTAAGTAATACTTAAGCAATCAAAATATCTAGAGGAAATAATATACGTTTAAAAACTACTTTTTAAAGACAACACTTCCGAAGAATCCAGTATCTCCAATCTTACAGATGTAGTACCTCATCTAATTTTCGAAAATTAAAAAAATTACCTTTTCAATTTTTTAAATATATATACTGAATATCTATATAATTTTTTCAAAATTATTTATTCTGGTAATTGATTCGTGCATTGCCTCTGATTTCACACCAGTGTGCAAAATTTCAGATCAATTAGACAGGTAAAAGTGTGTCAAATATCAGTTATAAGATTTTGTAGCTGACAAAATCATTTTTTCAATTTTTTTAATATTGAAAAAAAAAATTATTTCTAAAATCATTTATTTTGACACTTGATTCATGCATTGTCTCCAACTTTACACAAGTGGGCAAAATTTCAGATCGATAGGATAAGTAGAAGTGTATTAAATTTTGATTACAAGATTTATAGCAGACAGACAGACAGACAGACAGACAAACAAGAAGTGAAGTTAAAGAGAAGTGTTGTAAAAACAGACTTCAAACAGAATCTTATCGTAAACAGGCATAAATTACGTCTCAAATTTATAATACCAAAGAATATTTAAAAATGTCAAGCCGTAGCTTTGATTTACCGTAATAGCGAATATCATATTTGAATTTTCCTCCGCATCAATTGACCATGTGTCCAAGGATGAAACACACGAGCGAGGATAACTACGAAGCGGAATTCAAGATTTTAAATTACTGAAAATATAGAGCATACCCTGAGCATCCCCCTGGCTTGCTCGATGATGGTCTCAGCAGCGGTGATGTTGGAGCGGCCCACTTCGGCCAGACCTCCACCCTGACGCAGGGCATCCTTCACGCCCTCCACCAGCCCTTGCACCTTCTCTATGCGTTCATGCAGCTCGTCCAGGGTTCGCTCCACCGTCTGGCCTCCTGCATCAGAATGAAGCAAATTTATCATCTCAGATTCGAAGATTACCACTGCAACCTCAGACTGATCAGGAAGAATCAGCAAATAACAAAAACGCAGGTAACAAATATCGAAAGGAATTGAAATTTTTTAATGTACTTGAAAGTTTAAAGTTAATTCAAGCAAGTAACGATGAACCAAGCTTCACTGCTGCTCATATAGATTTAGCTTTTGATTCCTGACTATTACGAAACCATGAAGCAAAAACAGCTTCGCAACTGACGTTGCTAGATATTCTTCAAGGCTTGACATCTGCACCGCCAGAAAAACTATGCTAAAAAACTTGTTGCAACAGCTGCGCACTTGAAGCTCTCAATGTATGATAAGCCGTTGGCTAAATACCATCAACATCGCAACAACCAGACCTCAATTACCGTGTTGTAACAGCTAAGCTTAATTTACTTTTTTTCTTAAACTGAAGTTAAAAGTCCTCAAGTTTTAAGGTTAATTTTTTCCCTTAACTAAAGTTAATAGTCGACCTCCAAGATCAGCGGCGCGGCTGGCGTCGTCCCACAGGTCCTGCACGCTCGTCATGACGAGGGCGAGGGCGCGCTCGAAGTCCTGGTCGTTGAGCACCGTCGGGTTGCTCACGATGTCCGCCAGCAGGCGCTCCAGCTCAGCAAGGCGCTCACGGTGGATGCTCACGGCGTCCAGCACGAGCGTGTAGCACGGAGGACAGTCTGCACGCCACATAAAATTTGACCAAAATTATTTCTTTGGAAACCAGTCTTGCTTTGCAGTCAAGAATCTTAGAACGGAAATTGAGATGAGGATTATTGAACGATCAAATAAAATAACAACAGAGATGGGTGGAATGACTTCATTGATTAAAATAATAATTTGCATACGAAAACAATCACACAGAGGCCAAAAAACTATGTAAGAGAAAAACAAATTATTCCTAAATCTGCAAGAAGAAACAACTAAAACAAAATGCAAAAGTTAACAAAAAATACAAAGCAATCGATGGTCTCACGATGACTAAAATCAAAACCAAAAGAAGCGATTTCTTACAAATTCGTCTCTGGAATTCCGGTACCTTCATAATTTTTTGACTTGACTGGAAAGTAATGATGCAAAATTCAGCCGTGATGATAGTAGAGTTCTATTTATTCTAACACTCTACAAATAGAAAGAAGTTTGAGCTTTACAGTAACAATAGGTCCTGACCTCGACATCCGGCCTGCTTGTCGTAGGTGTTCTCCCGACATCTGTCGCAGCGTCGGCCTTCCACGTTCTCTTTGCACTGCAATAAAGACACGTTCGTCATTGTCAGGAACTCATCGCGTAAGGCTCTTGAGTGAATCACATTATGAATGAAGAAATCAAATTTGTTGGGCTGTTGCGCGGACAGAAGCAATTTTTTATAAGACGGATTTTTTTACGAACCATTCAGTTCACGGTAACGTTGCATATTTTACAGCCACATTTACGACAATATTTCTGTATAAGAACATATGAATGAAAAGGTTGTCTACGGTATCTAAAACATATCCATTATTGTTTGAACTACGGTAGGCAACGTTCTTTGAATTTTTGGCGAATACTTTCATCTCGAAATATTTCTTCGTTTAGTTGAAGTGGTTTTCAAGAGAGTGATTTTTCTTTTTCAGAAGACAAGCCAGAATTTATAAGTATTTACCAACTAAATTGCGACTTTTCATAAGGCACATTTCTAACCACTAATTCTGTCCTGGTTCCAATTTTTTTTTTTTTTTTTTTTTTTTTTTTTTTTGAAGACGGAAACCCAAAAAATTTATAAAAAACATAAATGCTCTCTCGGTAATCCCGAACAATAATTATGGCAATTCATGACTAAGAGACAACCGAACACTCCATAGCTAACGTCTTGACGGAGATAAACTACCAGGTAAATAACAACTAAAATAATCAAGACGATCTCACCTGACACTGGCCGGTCGCGTCGCACTGCAGGGACACAGAACCTATGGGGTCGCAGTCGCAGGGCTGGCAGCCTTGCAGGGAGAAGCCGAAGTGCTGAGGCTCGCACACGTCGCACTTCTGACTTGTGACGCCCTCACGACAGAAGCACTGACCCGTGAACGGGTCGCAGGTGCCGTTAAGTGACCCTATTGGGTCGCACCCACACTCCTCGCAACCCTGCTCATGAGAGATAGCTATGTTTCAGGCAAGATCAACTTGATTTTTAGAATAGCACAATGGATTTTTGAGGCATTTTAAGCACATTTTAGGAGAAACTAAATAGATAATGAGACAATATTTAAAAGAATCTTTGTAATATCCAATTAACGAATTTTTACTGACTTTCCAGTTAATTTTCACCCATTTTGTAAACTTGATTCACACATAATGAAGACTTTCTTAAAAGGATATTGTTGATGCTAACGGCTAAGAAAAAGGGAGAACTTGAAAGAGATCTTACCGCAATTTATAAGAAATTGATAATTATAGTTAAAATTAATGATATATGTATAATTAATGGAAAGGAAGCAAGTAAACTAACATTCCCACTGCGATGGTTCCAGAAGCCAGGCTGGCAAGAGTCACAGCTACGTCCAGTGACATGCTCCTTACAGCGGCACTGCCCCGACACTTGGTTGCACACGGGTGGTCCGTATGTCTCCGGCACCGTCCCTGTGCGTCAACATGGACAGAGATCCTAGGTTATGCTCTTCGTAGACCAACTGAAGATAGATATCCCGTAAAACGAGTATCCTTATGTCACTATGGCTACTGTAATATGTACATATATCGGTGAGCATTTTTCAGGTAACTGATGAAAATGAGGTAATGGAATTGTATCGAATACAATATTGTCGATACAATTTTCATGACGATCACTCGCAGATATCACTTACTAGACACAATCATTTCGGAGTTGTATATCAGCCTGAGCTGATCTCATTATTGCAACTCACCGTAGTGATTGCAGCGGCAGGGTTTACAGTCGCCTTGCACCAGCGGCTCTCCGTAAAAACCTGCCAGGAGTAAAATTCTTATAAAAAACTTCAATAATTTAACCGTAAAAACAAATAACGGGTGATTGTTCGATGCAAAACTATCAGATGTCGTCAGCGTAGAGACAAATTTTATTTCTTGCAAATACATATATGAACTTTGTTCAAAAAATGTAACAGCAGAAATCACATGTGACCAAATGATCAAAATTCAAAATTAGTGATAAATGGAAAAAAACTGTAACTTGATCGGAAAATCCACGCTATTGCAAGGTAATTAAAAATTAGTCTAAAATAGAAGCAAAGTTTCAAGTCGCTATGTAAAATGTTCGATAAATGGTACTCACTCAAAACCATGACATAATCGAGCTTCGTTAGAAAATAAATAGATCAGTGAAATAAACAAATGCAGAGCAGAGAATCACTCGCTGCCAATTCTAATATATGTAATTAAAAAATTAATAGAACCACAAAACGGACAAGAAACAAGATGATGATTAATAACTTTAAAATTATCCAATTTTGAAGATTTCTGCTGAACAAAGTTAAATGCCACAAACCCAGAATCGGATTCTGATGCCAATGGACATTAAAAAAGCTTATAAGATTAATTGCAATCAGAAATTGAGCAGTCACCGGGCAGGCATTCGTCGCAGAAGGCGCCGCCGGTGTTGTAGATGCACTTGAGGCAGTGGCCCGTGGTGCGGTTACAGTTCGCAACGGCGTTGGGGTCGATGTTGCCGTTACAGTCGCACTTCTCGCACGGCTTCGGCGTGAGGGTGACGCGTCCCTGAGGGTCGCCGAAGTAACCGTCCGTGCAAATGTCGCACCGAGGACCTGCGGAATAATAGGCATACGGTTATTGTAAAGAATTTTACAGAACATACTTCTCCTGTATGCATAAGGTTGGGATTTTTCAGGTAGGACCAGAGTTAATGAGCTCAGACAAAATTCATTTTGAACTAAACTTGACCGAGATTGTTCAGCAATTTGGTATGTTATCATTTACTTATGTTATGATCCTTTTATTGCTTGTTAGCCTTGGTTATTTTCTCTATATTGTTTATAATCTCAAATGACCTCAATACGTGTTCAAATTGTTCATTCTTTGTTTTCAGAAACCGTTACAATCCACAATGAGTTTTCATTCTGAACAATCCCCTGAACAAAGAGCCATATTATTTATAGTTATAGAACGGAATAGACAGTCATCTGGCCCGTCAGCTTGCTGCTGAAACTACATAGCGTATATTACAACAATTTTTTCTCCATCATTAAGAATTTAATTTTTAGTTAGTCTTGAGAATTAATACACTGATATCATTAACTGCGAAATAATTTTAATACCAATAAACACAATACGGACACACAACACTTATCAGAGTGGACACCCAACACGTATTCCTGGCACTCAAGACACTTACCAGCGTTTTCCATGTGGACACTCGAGACTCTGACCAGCGTATCCCTAAGGACACTCATGACACTGCATGACCAGCGTTTACCCGAGGACACTCGAGACACTCACCCGCATATCCCTGAGGACACTCGAGACACTCACCAGCATATCCCTGAGGACACTCGAGACAGACACTCGAGACACTCACCCGCATATCCCCGAGGACACTCGAGACACTCACCCGCATATCCCTGAGGACACTCGAGACACTCACCCGCATATCCCTGAGGACACTCGAGACACACGACAGTCTCATCAGGAAGCTTGATGCAGGCGCCGCCGTCAGGACAGTCGCAGGGCGTACAGTCGTCAGGCTGCCCTCTGAGGGCGTTGCCGTAGAAGCCCTTGGCGCAGCGCTCGCACTGACTGCCTGCCGTGTTGTGCTTGCAGATGCACTGGCCTGGCGACACAATCAGCGAATAAATGATGTTAGAAACGTGGAAAAACTATCTTATTTATGAGGGAATGTAACAATTTTACATATAAAAAGTGGAAAACAAATCATACGAATAACACGGGAACACAAGATACAGTTGATTAAAAAATACGTATAGTAGCAGTTGTAATAATTCTATATTCGACGATTATTTAATTTCTGCATAATATAAAAAACATAAGTCAGTACTCGCTGCAGTGAGTGACAGAGAGCACATTTTTTGTTGACGAAAACGTGAAGTCACGGACGGACAGACAGACGGACAGACGGATATGGCGAGCACAATAGTTCATTTTTTTCATAAATGAGAAAATGTGCTAAAAAGAGTAAATACTGCACCAAAACTTCACTAAAAACTAATTGATGAATATATTACCAGTCTCAGAGTCGCAAACATCCGCATGATTGTTGCAGTTGCAGGGCGTACAGGATGCGAAGGGTCCGCCGTTGGGAGGATCATGCCTGAAGCCCGGAGCGCAGGACTCGCAGTACTGGCCCACGTATCCTAGCGGGCACGTGCACATCTCCACCCAGCTCGCTGGCAACCCGAACTGACCGGGCCGGGCCGTTTCAAGCCGCACGTCGTCCAAGTAACCGCGACCTGCGGGCGCCGACAAATCATCTTTTAGACTTAATTTCTGGCAAAAAAAATATTTATGTTATGGATCTTTCGAACATGAAAATCTTATGGAGTTGTTTACTTCGTGATAAACATTTACTTCAAAGAGACAAATCATCTAGTATATAAATTGTCAGGAAAGTGAAATATCGAGAAGAAAATTCAGAGAGACGAATAGGTAATAATTCCAAATGAAAAAATCCTATAAGAAAGTTGTCTACATGGCAAATAACCATGAACATAAATAATCATGCAAAGCTATACTTGACAACGAGAATAAATCATGTAAGGGAGAATCACTAAGAGCATATATTTTCCCAGAGAAAAATCGAAAAAGTTTAAGAAGCCAGGAGGACAAGTCTACATGAGAACAAATCTTCAAATGACCAGGCTAAGACACTAGTTATATAAAGAACATGCAAAAGACAGCTTCTTATATCGAGTACTTTTTAACAATTTTGCACGTTGTGTTCATTCCTTACTTTTATATGGCCAGTTTTGACTGACGGTTCCTTCAGTAGCAACATTATGACGGATGTCGTTCCCCAACCAGACATCGATCGCACTTACCTTTGATTCCACTTAATGTGGTACCATTTGCTTTCAATTCCTGAACAGTAGTAATATGGCCATACTTATCATCTTCATAGCAGTGTAGCAACAGCCGCTTTCAAATTAGAACCATTACTGTGTAAGTTACATTCATAGTAGTACAGACACCGCGATTTCAAGAACCATAAGCGTGTGAATTGACTTCAGATTGGTCGAGCAGCAGTGGTTAAGAACCATATCCGTGTAAATTACCTTCATATTAGTAGAGTAACCGCGGTTAAGAACTAAATCCGTGTATATTACTTTCATATTAGTATAGTAGCCGCGGTTAAGAACCATATTCGTATTAATTACCTTCATAATAGTATGTTGCTCTGATTTTCAGCGCCGTCAAGTTGGAGAGTAACGCCATGAAGTCCCGAGAGCTCAGGCGCGGTGACCAGCCAAACTTTTGGTCTTCATGAAGCCTGAACGAATATTCTTGCAACTGAAACAACGCAAGACGGTCAAATGGATACACAGCAATTGTAAACAGAAGTAAGCTTTTGTAATCTGGAAATATGCAAACACTCAAATGCATAACATAAAAAGTAACTTTTTGGATTATAAGCAATTGTGAAATCGTTTGGTGCTGCGATAAAAACGGCCATGACGCATTAATTGAATGGGCGTCTCGTAATGCGTTAAGATTTAAGTCAAAATGAGGAATTAGTAAAATGCAAGGAATTCAGCTTGTTTGCTGCTGACCAAGTAAAATTTTCTGGAGGTAAACAATTTTCAAGATACAAGAAATGTAATGCTCACGCATGCATTGCCTTGTAATTGAAGTCTTCATCTACTGCCGGTAATTCTCTTCAACAGACCAAAATATTGTATATTATATTATATATTTATATTATATATATTGGAATTATATTGAAAATGATTAATGAACCCGCAGACTACGGTTAAAAACAAATTGGATTAAGCCTGCGGCAATCGGTGTTATTACGTGCGAATTCGACAAATTTATTACTCGTATTACTTGTGCGTCATGAGGTTCATGCACCTGAGACGCTTGTAGAAATAACAGAACATACATTACTGAGACCTTCGATTCAAACCTGTTCATTGGGCAGCGGGTTGTTCTGGGCAAAGATGGGGGCTGAGACCACGAGTCCAGCTCCCTCCAGGATGATGTCTTCAGTGCTGGCCTGAGCCTGCGTGCCAGCAATGCGCAGCTGGAACTTCAGGTACTGGTTGTACGAGAACCTCTGGTCGCCCAGGAACCGGTCTGCACACGCAATGATTTTGTGAGATAGATCAGGAAACCTTTTTGTAAACTTTTTTATTAGGAAACCTTTTTGTAAACTCTTTTTGAGGCAGATAGCGATTTCCTAAATTGTAATCAGGTATTTGGAAATGAATTTGTAGGGCGCATTTTGATCTATAAGTTCTACATATTTTTATATGGGTAGCGGGAACAATATTTGAAAATGTCCCTCTAAGAAACATGTCTTTCAATAATGTACTCACTAGGTGCGAGGAAGTAGACTTTATCAGGCCCCCTGGTGGAGACTGCAAGTATCCTGGCGGAGGCGTCGTATGTGACGGCGATGGGACGGCCGCCCCAGTCCTCGCCCGCCCAGCGCTCTGCCCCGCGCCTGAAGCCGCTCTCTATTACGCCTGTAAACCAAAATATTGGACTATGATATCTTATTTTATTTTTATTAAATCTATTATATGATACGATTTTTATAATACTATAATGAGTATGAGTTTCAAAATATTAGATTCATATACTTTAAATTTTTGATCAATTACTATTCGAATGGCGTGACATAAAATAACATTTTTACAAAAATGACAAAAACTAAAATGACGTTCAAAATTCGACATTTTGAGTAATAAATCGAAATATTCATTGCATAGAAAATTCATTCAAGGCACATGAACAATTTATATTTTGCCGAAATGTGCAAACCAAAATAAACGACACGTACCGGTAGCAAAGAAAATTTGGACTGTTGCAGAATAACTTAAAAGAAAGATTAGGAAACAGTTCTGATAGTATCCATGAAAATAATGAGAAATAATTTTAGTCAGAAATTTATGTACAGAATTTAAATATATAAGTTGTAAAGCGTTGCATAATTACGTTGGAGGAAAATCATCAACATGAAGAGTATAAGGAGCGACATGGAAAGTCTCGATCTCAATCGACGATAATATACATACAGGAAAATGCCGGATCCAGCACATCTATAAGATCGATATAAAAGCTTTTTATAAAGCCAAACTAATTTTTAAAATCACAGTAACGACACACTGATCTTTAGGGTATTATAAACGTAAATAAGCACAAATATCTTTATAAGAGAAGTTTTACGTAAAAACATTGTCAAATCAAGTCACTGCAGAAGAAAAATATTTACACCGACGTAAATATATACTACCTACGGTACTTCCTAATATCTAGAAAAATAAACTCGTATAAAAAGAACCTGAACAATCGTTCATTTTAGGTAAAAAGTTTACCATGTCAAATCCTTACATGCAAAACATGTAAAAAGTTAAACATGTCAATTGAGAAACCCGTGATCACGATCCAAGTACATGGAAATAAAGATAGAACATTTACGACTTTGAATGCATTAGAGTGAAACGAGATTAAACGACCAAACGCCTTGCGGCACCTATTGTATTTTGTATAAATGATTATGAGATTTATTATAAATACTCATAAACGAATTTGTGAATGAATGCAGTGAAAAAGTTAAGTGTCGACGTATTGGCAATTTTTCTACTTGTAGCATTTGAACTGGAGGTCCAATCAAATTATAATTGTAATGAGAAAATTGTATTCTACTGAGAAAAATAAATCGATTATGAGTTGACGGACTTGTTATTACTAGGAAATTAGGCACAATTAAACGAAATGAAGAAGCCTCAATTCCTTGAATCACGAACAATTAAGAAGTGACCAGGTGTATGCGTTATGTACACATTTATTTCATGAAAAATTATTCCGCACCACTGATCAATAAATTACATGTGAAAAATTCATGAGGCACTGTATATATGATACATCACAAATCAAACGTGTAACTATAATTAATCAACGCCAGGTTAATGCACGGCACGAATAACATTGACGCACTGTTATTTAAGTGTACAAAGTTATCACGTCTTCACGTCAAGAGACCCACGGAAAAAGCACAGTAATGCTCATGAAAATACTCACAGTAATACTGCGCAGGGTAAGTAATCTCCCCTACAACACGATCGTGATATTAATAAGTATAAAGCATCATTGAACCATATTTCGATAGACCATTATTAAACATTACTATATTTCACCATCAATACGGTAATATAGTTTGTTATCATTCATTCAATAAATTTATAATCTAAATTGTATCGACTTAAAAATTACCCAGACCAATTTAAGGAGTATTTTCTAAGTTCTGAAGTAAAAACTGCATTATCATTCTAAACATACATTATCAATGAGAGTAAAGACGAATAAATTAGTCAATAGTGTTTTCTAGGACGAAATTATTTTTGACTTCACAACTTATTGAAGCTACGGCGAAAAATGACCATAATGAACACGCCCCTACGAGGGTGACTAAACGCTGATCGAAATTGTAGATGACGACGCTCCCTCACATCAATAAAAGTCATTCTGAGATGTTAATAAAATTTAAAGACACAAACGCAGCTGATACTCCATTTTATCCAAACTCATCGCGGCCCTCCCTCAAGGCGAAAACACGGTAAAGAAAACTAATTGCACCACCAGGAAGGAAATAAAAATGTTTCATTTTTTCAATATCAATGGACAGACTTTGAAAAGACACATAGTAAGTTCAAAGCTGACTTTTCCAGAAAGCTTTCCTCACAAATTCTCACAATAAATTTTGAATTCTTCATGGCGCGATGTCTGGCGATCTATAATAATGACGGTCTTTATAAAAGGCTCCTAATAAATTAAAGAGCATCATTAGATTCATTATTGTCAGAGAGTACATCAAAAAATGAATTGGAGGTATGAATACATTGGAATTCCTTCACCATGATAGAAAAAACGTGATAAGCTTTTGAATGCATGCTAATTAGGTACAAATTTAACCTTGACTGAATGCACTTTTTCATAAACCGTAACAATTTCTAAGTTAAATTTTTAATTGAAAGAGATGTGAAGATCGCCTACGTCAACAAATTAAAAGTGAATGAAAAAAATTAAAGCGAATTAAAAGTTTACTCTGAGAATTAAATTAATTAGGTAGCGTTAAATATAAATTTACCTTTAGAATATCGGCCAGCGGATTGACATATGGAAGAATGTCCATAACAGAAGCAAGGTGTGCAGCCGAACTCATTTTCCTCATCGAGGTTGAAGTAGCCAGGCTTGCACTTATCGCACTGCTGGCCCTCCACGTTGCGCTTACACGAGCAGATGCCGGAGCGCGAGTCGCAGTTCGGCTCGTTGGCATAGCTGCCCGCCTTGTTGCAGCCGCACGCTTTGCAGCCCTGAAACCATCGGCATAAGTCATAACATAACATATTGATCTCGGCGCATATTTTTTATTTTCTATCAATCTGTATCGAACTTTCACTGTAATTAAAGATTTGCAAACATATATACACGCTTAGTCAAACTTCTGAAGTGCCAAGTCTAAGACAAAAGTTGAACGAATTTAATTTGTACGTGCGTACAACGTGGACATTCGTGTACTAGCATTATACTAGCATTATACTGGCATTATACTAATATTATACTAGCATTATACTAACATTATACTAGCATTATACTACCATTATACTAGCATTATACTGGCATTACACTAGCATTATACTGGCATTATACTCGCATTATACTAGCATTATACTAGCATTATACTGGCATTATACTACCATTATACTAGCATCATACTGTCCTTAAAGTAGCACTGCACTACCATTATATTAGCATTATACTAGCATTATATTGGCATCATGCTGGCATAATAGTAGCAATGCACTACCATTATACTAGCATTATAGGTACTAGCATTATACTGGCATTACACTAGCATTATACTAGCATTATACTGGCATTATACTAGCATTATACTAGCATTATACTAGGTACCATTAAACTGGCATTATACTGGCATTATACTAGCACTGCACTACCATTATACTAGCATTATATAGGCATTATACTAGCATTATACTAGCATCATACTGGCATTATAGTAGCACTGCACTACCATTATACTAGCATCATACTGGCATTATAGTAGCACTGCACTACCATTATACAAGCACTATACTAGGTTTATACCAGCATTATACTGGCAAAGGTACTAACTTGAGATCCGAAGTCAAAGTAGTTCTCCTGACAGCGCTCGCACTTGTCGCCAGCTACTCCGGGTTTACACGAGCACTGACCTTCTGAGCCGCACTGCAGGATCACCGAGCCTGAAAATTACAAATAAAAATCCTCGAAGAAAGCGATACTTTAAAGGGATTCCTTACATGGAACAGTTTGAAGACAATACCAGAATTTTTTGGAGAATAAATCTAATTTTATGATAAATTTTATTTGACGTATTTGAGGCAAAGTAGTAATCACCAACAAGGTTCATCACAATCATTCCCACTCATTATACTCACAAATTTCATCACACTCACCCCACTCATTTTACTCGCTCTTCTCATCACTCACCCAGCTCATGCACTTATTCTGCTCATCACACTCACGCCAATTATTATACTTGCTTTCTCATAACATTCACCCACTCATCATACTCACTCTCTTCACCCAAAATTTTTGAGCTAAAATAATGTGGGTTTTGGCTATTTTGCGTGTTAAAATGTTGAAGTCCAAATTCAAAATTAATAACGTATTTACCTAAAATCGACGACCCTGCACATCACACTCACCCCACTCATCGTAGTATTTTCTCATCACATTCAAACCGGCCATTATACCAACTCTACTCATTATACATTATAGGTACTCACCACGCCCATTATATCCACTTTCGTCATATTCGTGTCATTCATTATACTCGCTCTCATCGCAGTCACCCTGCTCATCACACTCACCCTGCTCATCACACTCACCCTGCTCATCACACTCACCCTGCTCATCACACTCACCCTGTTCATCACACTCACCCTGCTCATCACACTCACCCTGTTCATCACACTCACCCTGCTCATCACACTCACCCTGTTCATCACACTCACCCTGTTCATCACACTCACCCTGCTCATCACAGTTGCAAGCGATGCACTCGCCGCTCTGCAGTTCGTAGTAGTCGTCCCGACATCGCTGGCAGTTCGGGCCCGCCCGATAGCCGGCGCAGTCGAGGCAGTGGCCGCCGTGGCCGGTCTTCTCGTACAGATCCTTGTCGAAGTAACAGCGCTCCGAGTAGCCGTTACAGTCACACGCTGCAACGAATTACTTGTCATATATAGAAATTAAACAATATAAAGAGCGCTCTTAAGTCATCGCGGAAAATGTGAAACAAAAAGGGCCATGTGTGCTGTCATTCAAAGTTATTTATCGTAAATAACAATCAAAATGTTAGCTAGCGAGAATAGTCGGACTCTGGGAGTATTAAACACTGCTTGATATTGGAGAAATATTTAAACTTATCAAACAGTATTTGGCGCTTACCCAACACTCATAAGAAATTTTGCTATGATAACCAGAATTAATTTCCTTTAGGAGAAAACACCTCACTTCTAAGTTATGAATTATGCAGTACACGCTTCAACTCCTGTCATGCACGGCGGGAGTAACGGGAAAAATCTCAGAAAAGCAACAATGCACAACGGCAAACAGGCGCGTAGGAGAAGGCGACGCCCACCGTCTGGTGCCAGCGCGGGCCTCGAGTGCTTGGTTAACTGCGGCAGCAGTGATGTGCAGTACGTGGGTTTGATTATGCCAACATGCACCACCAGGACACGGTCCCGTCACACGCAGCACGAGGACTTGATTGCCGCAACACGCAACACGAGGACTCGATCCTGCAACACGCACCAAGAGGACTCGATCCCGCAACACGTACCACGAGGACTCGATCCCGCAACACGCACCACGAGGACTCGATCCCGCAACACGCACCAAGAGGAATCGATCCCGTAACGCGCAGCACGAGGACTTGATTGCCGCAACACGCCCCAAGAGGACTAGATGCCGCAACGCGCATCGCGGAACTTGCGTAGGATAACACACATACGGTACCATAGACTTGGCAATTCGTTCCAGCTATTAGGCTACCTACCACTGCAGCAAGTCATTACGAGGCCTCATAAGCTTGAATTTAGTATATCCAAGTATATAATATTTCCAATCAGTATAAAATTTCCAACCTGAAACACTGGCGCGTGTAGTCTGAGTGTGTCTAGACATATAATCGTGCGAGCAGACGTAGAACGTCAAGCCATTAGCAGGCGGGCGGTCATATCTGACACATAACAGCCGTGATGCCTGCCTGGCGCTGTGCCATATAACGCGGCACGCTGCTAACTTGTGCCTCGCTGTAGTGTTTGTCAGTCAGCTTGTCAACAGCATTTACGTGCTGCTACCCAACGTCGCGCGTCATAACTTGTGAGGCATGGGGCAGCAGGTCACCGATAGTTTTAATAAAGATACTAGAACATAACTTAACTGTAACGTGAAAGTTATGCTTACTTTTACTCCGGCTCAATTTTTGTTAACTTCCGTGCTTCTCTTACATAAATAAAATTGCAGCATTTTTACATATGGAAAATGACGGAATGTGACTGTGGAATGCGATAACAGAAGGGGACTTGAGGTGGCTCGAAGATATCTAGCATTGCCATACCTTCTTAAACTTTATTTTCCTATAGATAGTTTTTTCGCTTACAAGTATCCGAAACCAGCATATGGGACGTTCGTCAGTTCATAATACTACATTTGAATGATTTTATTTCATTCGATTAACAAATTTAAAGACACGTGGTAACTAGATTCCTTCAATATATACTAAACTACGATCGGAACAAGTTAATAGGTGATTAATCATCTGCAATTGACGTGGTAGCTGCAAAATGAGGAGCGTAAACAGTAACAATGGCAGCTGTGAGCGACAAGCCTTGTATGGGCAACAACTATAGTCTGAGTCCTACACCTGCCACTCGATGCACCTTTAAACATCATGTGCACGGTTGCTCGAATTTGATATGAACACATTTACACTTTCTGTAATCGAAATTCACACAATCACAGATGATATAGTTTGAAATAAACACAAAAGTTGATCGACTTCTAACATCACATATCTAAAGGTGCTTGAGAATTATATACATACACAAGCGCTAGAGTTTGAGTTAACGAATGTAAAATCGATTAGGTTCATATGCACACAGAAACAAATGTTTTACTACGAAATCCACACATTTAAAGCGACCTCACTTTGAAATGAGCTTAAAACTCGAGTACATATCCAGGTGAGTTTGGGTCTCAAAGTGAAATTTTTCTAATTACATCGACGAACGAAAAAAGTTGTGGGGGTAGATGATCTGGCATTATATAATGCCAGATTACAATACATTAAAATATATAATTCATGGTATTCTATTTGCTTCGATGAAGATCGGAGCATTGAGTTCAGTGAATAATGTACACTGTTTATTTGCCTACACGATCTAGAATGACTTAGATAAACTCACCCTCTGAACCAAGGGTTCTTTGCAGGTCTGACGTCTTCACGCTGCGCGATTGAGCTTCGACAAACGGAGTTGCGGTAAATAGGAAGCAAATCACTGCAATTGCCACGATTACTCGCAGCGATTGCCGAACACCAATCACCAACATAGTGATCCCAAGCTGACTAACACATTATATTTCAGAAGATAGAGACTCGACAGAATTTAAAAACCGGATTCAAAGCCAATTTGAGCAAGATAATAAATTGAGTGAAACTAGAACATTTTTCCTGTGAAAAATGATCTCGATGAATGAACTATACCCTGTCGACTTAATGTTAACGCTCGAAAGTGCACACCTAAATTCTATCTAGCTAACTAATGATCAACGCAGATATGCCGTCCTTAATCTATCAGTAATGATCCGACTTAACCGTCGACCTTAGTCCATAGTGCTGTGAATAATGGCTACTGGCTACACTGTTCAGTTGCGATTGCCCAGGCATGTTTAGATAGGAACATGAAAACTGTCATCCGTAGCGAACCAAAATTATAAAGAAGGCATCGTTTGTGGCCAGGGGCGGCCGCAAATGCAGTAATTCCGAGCAGTGACCGATGGCAGACCATCACCTGCGACACGGCCCAGCGACCTCGCTCTTCTCGTGCATCGCGATCTTTAGATACGCGAATAACTTCGATCTTTTTAATCAGAGAGATGAAAGCAACTGCTCGAAACTGAAGACGCAATAAGGTCTAAGGAGAAAATGAGTCCAGAAAATCCGGGTTCAAATCTACACAATCTCACAAAAACAACCGTGAGCACAAACTAGAAAAATATGAAGACTTTATGATAAGACGAGGCAAAATTTCTCCACGAGGAAAAAATCGAACTTGAGATTTGGGTCTTTCATTGTAATGAAAATATATTTTCGTATACAGTTATATACAGAATAATGATGAATATTTGCGCGAAATATAAAGAAATTAGCGGGCATGAGCAGGATGATTAAATCGGCTTCTATACAGAGAATACTGGTAGAAAATACTACACTAGAAAGAAAATTAAAAAATTATGAGATCAAGATTACATCACAGGTAATCTCGTGTCAGTTTCTGTACATTTCACATATGGATAGGCGAACACGCAGTCAGTGAGTCATTCAGTCAAAGAGACAGTAGCTACTTGAACTTAAAAGGCTGAATTTAAACATCAATATGGAGGCATATCTCTCGGCACATGAGGACATTAAAGTGCATAAAGCCCGAATAAAAGTGCGAATCGTCCCTTCATAACATCACTCATGATTCATCTCACCAGTTTCACTATCTGTATATACTGTGAACAACTATTATAACAGGTAAAATGAGTTCTAATCCGTTTTTCTTGTAAGTTGTCACAAGAAATTTGGTTTAGAACCGTTCCATTTCAAACAATTCCTTGCTAAAGTTATCTGCTTCTACTTTATTCAACAGACTTATACGATCAGATGCTATTCGTAAAAGTTTACGTAACAGCATTGGAAAATAAAACAAATCCTGTAATTGGAGTGCACTGAGCTAATCTTACCACACACCAAACCTGTATTTTCTACGTTCCCTAACTTCGGATATTTTCTAAGTGACAAAAATCTTTCCTCACTAATGTATACGACGATAATACTGGAATGCGTGGGCACGCATCTTCAGGTTGACTGCTGTACACCTAACAATGCTTTTCATTTCGCTCGGAAAGTAGGAGTTCCTAAACCAAACAAACTGAGTGAGTGTATTTGTTAGCCAAAGATTCACAACTTGAGTCACTGCTGTGCAAGTGTAAATACGACAACGAGTTTGTTTTATCCAGTGTCCAAGCTTATTACTCTAGGCATGGAAACACCCATTTTGCCCACACGAGAATGTAGAGTCGCGATGCACAAATGCTGTACTCCTACCCGCACCGTACCTCACAGGTGACTGACTGGAGAAAAAATTAGTTGACTCGAAACATGGATACCAAGGAATGAACCGCATTCCCCGTAGCTCCTTTCCCATTACAGGTCGCGTGCACGACTCAGAGATACCGTTAAATGAGTAATGCCAATGAGCAATTTTCATGATTTACAGCATTACCAGAAGATAATTGGAAACGAAATTCCTAGTACCAGTTACGTCACGTAAAGTTGATGAATTTTAGTGTACAAAGGGAAATTTGGTATAGTTCGACAGAAGTCTCTCCTTTATGCAAGTTTGATGGAAGACAAGAAAATTATGTTATAAATATTTTTCTTTCGATAACCGGCTTTTCGATCAGACTATGCCAGCGAGAAATTTCTTTCGACTCATTGAGAAGACAAATAATAAAATTATCAATAAAAAATATAACTCAGTACTCACTGCACTGAGTGACAGAGAGCGCATTTTCTCAAAATCGACGAAAACGTGAAATCACAGACAGACAGACAGACAGACAGACAGATGGACGGACGGACATGAAGAGCACAATATAGCGCCTTTTTTCCTTTAATGAGAAAATGCGCTAAAAACATTCACTGGTCTTCAATTAAACTTGTATAAATGGAAAAATTTTGTATGAACGAAGGCAATACGGATTAGTGTCCACAGCTCGCTCGTTTTCTTTGCTTTTCTTTCCCTAAATCACGTATTGGTTTTACATGCATGATGAGTAAAGGTATGAGATAGATACCAAGAGGATAACACTATAACAGATACGCGTACCATCTGCACCTGACGGATCAAATATGGGATTTGTTCTTCACCCATAGGAGGAGGTACTAACTGCAGACAGTTCCTACAAGTAGAGAACGCCCAGGTAAATCTAGTTTACCGCAGATACACAAAATATTCATGATAAATAGAATTTTCCATAATTAACAGAGATCCACGTTACTCACGTTGACACTCATGGGCATCAGTAGCAGTTGCTCTCTGCCAAGGCTTGTCGTTATAGAAAGGCAAGCATTCGTTGCAGTCCGGGCCTGTTGTTCTGTGCTCGCACACGCACGCCAGCGAACGAATGCCCTGCGAGTCCGACGTCTCGACGCATTCGGATGCGTGACCGTTGCACTTGCATCTGTGTGCGCCAATATTTCGTATATTTCGTTATAATTAAATAAGATCACGATAGTAAGGATACACTCACGAACGTTTAGGGTAGTTATCCATGACGTTCATGTATGAGAAACTGATTCGCTATAATTTAATTGAGATAAGACGTTGAATTTGACATAGAAACCTTACATTTGAAAATTGATCTGATTCACATGTTTATATACTTTCATATATAGTACCTTCGTAAAAAATACCGTTTAACGTGCATGCATTTCTGGATTTCATTGATGGACCCAGACACAATGAAAATTAATTTGAATTGTGTCTGTGCACATGTAAGGTACCGAAAAATATGAACACGGCAGCAGTATTGTGAATCTTGAATGTAAACAAATATTATTGAATATTATTGAATTAAGCCGTACAACAAGTATTTTGAATATGAATATCTCTCACCTGCCCCCCACGGCTAAGTTGTAGATAGCATAGAAATATGACCGCAGCACCTTCGGGTCCCCAAAAACTTCATCACCAAAAGTGTTGGGTCGGTCCAACACAATTCGGATGTCGGTCGCCGTCACCCATTCCTACAGGATATAGTAGGAGGATTATTGGTCTGTGATGCACCAACATGTGTGGATAAACACATTTTGTATGTGAAAAATATTTAATTTTTCTGGCGTCATATGAAATAATGTCCATGAATTCGTTTTTATGTAGTTACAACTATTTCAAGGAATGGGTACGACCGGTAAATTTTCTGGCATAAATAATATTATTTACGCATTTTTAAAAACGTTTCAAAATACTTACTAACAAAGTTTCACATACGAACGCACCTGCAGCTGGGGACTTGTGTCGAAGGCATAGGCCGACGGCCTATTTTCCAAGGTAGAGAAGGGTACGTTGCCGCCCGTCAGGGGCGAAATGTCGGAGAAGTCAGAGGTGCACAGAGCGCGCGTCTCGTCCTTGCCGAGGTATAAAGATTCCGGTATTCCATATGTGTCCTGGCAAGTAGCACTGCCAAGAAGAAGCTTCAATAATGCTTATTTTCAGGTAAGTATTAATTAAATTAGTTTTTACTTCCCCATGAATTTGCAAAGCCCCGGTTACTTTCTATCGTTATATTCTCACAAAATTGCGAGAATATAACGATAAAACAGAGGACGTAACAGATAAGGTAATATTAAATAACTGCTATCACACAATTATAAGCAGATCCCATTGCTAGAAGACAGAGCTGTATTAATTAAACAGTGAACACCTCAAGTAAATAGTAATAAGTACACGAAATATTTGCCACGAAAATCCTGTTGCAGTTGTGGAATAACTTCATTGAAAGCATTGACTATATATGCACCTGTAGAAATGATAAGGAGTCCAGTCGTGGTTTGGTGAGGTACGCTTGTAAATTGCAAACGATTCCGGCCGAGGTGAACGGAAGTACAGACGAACGTATGTGATGTCGAATGCCTTGTCTGTTAAAAATAAAATTCAGTTCAAGGTCTAGAAAATTTGTGGCATTTGTTTATATGTTTATTCCAAATTTCTAGCATATATGTTGTAAATAAACTTATTTAAAATAAGATCCTAGGTGTGACTTTGCTTAATAAAATCTATCATGTAGAATAAATTAAAACGCCCTAATGTTGACTGAATTATGTATTTACATAACGATATTCAACTAAGAAAATAATGTTGATTTAGAGGAAACTTACGCGTTCTATGCATAGATATTAAATGATCAATTTATGAGTCTTAATCGAGGTAGGGACAATATGGACAAGAAAAGGCATATAAAGTAACTTGATCGTAATGCTGTGTAACTCATCGCGTCAGCTTAACGAGCTTGGGACTAACGAGCCCAACGAGCTTGTGGTAAGTTTCATTAGATTCTCGAATGGCAATTCTTCATAATAATTAATATTATTCAAGCAATAATGTTTCCCCTCTCTCAAGTACTCCACTGCTTCATTGTTCACAAACATTCTGAGTCAACTCTTAGTTCAAGGTTATTTGAGCGTTAAACAATTCGGAGTTTCTGACCGAGAAATTTACAAAAATATGAGAATAAAAATTCTGAAATAATGTTCCAAAAACGTACTGAACGTTTAGAAAATTTCTGGTACTAGAGTCTACGTCTACTCAGCGTAGTTAGGAAATGTACAAGTATAAAATAATTTTCTCACTGAGATGTAGAGTAAGATTGACTTCATTAGGGTACTGGATGCCCTCCAACATAGTCTCGCTCTGCCACCACGTCTTGTTGTCGTCCAAGTCGACGTCGGTGAGGTGGTGAGCTGGGTGATACAAGCCTGGTACTGTGGCATCACAAATCCGACAATCCTGCAAATAATACGTTGACTGAACCTGCATGTTCATACAGAAATAATTTCTCTTGGATGGATCAAACTAAGAAATTCCGTGTCTAATTGATAATTCGGCGAAATGTGAATTTTTAAAAATTAAATTAAAGTCTCGCATAACATTAGAATATGGACTAGACCAACCAATGAAATTGACAAATGTTGCATGTTCTTGGGAGTGTAAATTTTACTCATGTCAAATTATATTAATTAAAACTCAACTTACTTCTGAAGTTCACATATGAGCAACAAATGCAGAGTTAACAAATATTAACAAAAATAGGACTTTTCCAGCCCTGAATTGTCAACTAATCAACTTTATATGTACAGCAGCAATTAGCATTAAAGAGTTTAATAAATATCAATATTACCGCACTTTATGTCAAAATCACATTCTGACACGTGTGCGCTTATTGCGAACCATTTCGAACATTAATTAGGAAGAAACTTCGTCTTTAAGCAATGCATCAATATTCTAGCATAGTAAAATTATTCCCCAATAAATTTGAATTTTTTTAAGTATAAATTCGAAATGAATACTTTATACACCAATGGAGAAGAAAAAAATTGAAATTTTTTTATAGATATTTACAAATGCTCAATATGCAAACTGAACCGTATCTGAACAGTATACTGAACCCCTTCGTGCTGCACGGCAAATTTCTAAACGGTAGCCTAACTCGTCCCACACACGAGAAGGCATATCTTCTGTTACTGAGTTCATCGTAGCAGTAATACGCTTCTTCCGATCAACCAGAGTTGCTGGTAGAGGCGGGACGTAAACAGCTTCTTTGACGTAACCCCATAATTTGGGGGTAAGATGGGTTACGTCATAATCACATGGGGTTAGATTAAGTTATCTCGGTGGTCAGAAGTGTAGAGCCAGATCTTCATTCCAAGACGTCCTATCCAACGCTCAGAAAGTGACTCCGCGAAGAAAGTGACTCCGCGAAGAAAGTGACTCCGCCGCCCAATTTCCCGTTTCATTAGATTAAAAAATTTGAATATTTAGTTTTCCATTGGTGTATAAATTAGTCATTTTTATTTATAAATGAATAAATAAAAATTTATAAAATTGGGTCCATGACTACTCCAAATTTATTATCCAAGTTCAGTTGCTGAAAGAATGAATTTCTGTGTGTAGTGTTGCACTGTTGCTGAGAAAGAATTCATGGCAATAACACCAACAGCTAGTGCGTTCATGGCAGTAACACCAACAGCTAGTGAGTTCATGGCAGTAACACCAACAGCTAGTGAGTTCATGGCAGTAACACCAACAGCTAGTGAGTTCATGGCAGTAACACCAACAGCTAGTGAGTTCATGGCAGTAACACCAACAGCTAGTGAGTTCATGGCAGTAACACCAACAGCTAGTGAGTTNATGAACAATCCGACCCTTTATATAAAGGTGAGTGGGTAACGTAAGTTACGTAACCCCCATGTTAGTAAATAAAGGTGAGTGGGTAACGTAAGTTACGTAACCCCCATGTTAGTAAGTCGCGAAAAAAATCGGTTTTCCGATGCCGACCGCCAAAAATGGATTTCAGATTCGTAATCTACACCCCAAAAAACATATAATTAAAAAAAAACACCCTTTTTTTGGATGTAGTTAATCTGCAATAATACCACAACTAGTGCATTCATGGAAGTTACACCTACAAACCTTGGCAGCGCCATATCCGCCGGTCTGGAGGCAGTACTCTTGTGGCCGCACAATCCCGCACTCGTTGCTTACGTCGATGCGGCCGTTGTACGCAGCGTTTACGAATGCCGTCACACATTTCTGTTGGCATTTTTAACATTAAATGAATGATAAATTGTACAGATGTAAATTTTCTATGACAAGAATCAGTTATAAAGTATACTTTAATCATCTTTCCGCAAATAACATACAAGCTCATACAGAAGAAGTTTCAAAATCAAAATAATAAAGCCAATGCTGAGATAACAATTGCAACTAAATATCATTCTTGGAATTTAAAAAATAGACCAGAGAAGCTGAAGGTTATTAATGAACCAAAGCGTTGCAAGAACACCCATCACTTGATTTGTGCAGACTTTCTATGTGCTCGTGCTAAGCACATTTAGACTCGTGCCTTCTCTAAGAGGGACCTACTTCTGTGTTCGTGTAAATTTATCCAGTCTCGTAACAATCTCGTACCAGTTCCATCATCACTTGTTATCTCACGAATCGGTAAGTCCAATGCAGCTACGAAACAAAAAAAATCACTCTCACATCATTCATGGTGCATATATGTTGGTTTTTAGGAATAGGTTAATTGAGGTTTCCTTTACAGTAACCGTTTTGCAAAGGGGAAGCAAAAATTATTCTCCTTGAGAGAGACTAATTCAACTAAATTTCTACGCAGCATCGTTAAATGCTGATATGTACATTAATCTTATAGAATTTATTCATTTAATGACACAGATCTCTTTTCTTGTGGTCCACTTTTTCAGCAATATTCGCTCACTCACTCAAATACTCACAAACGAATTAACCTATCTAGAATTTTACAAAGAATAAAAATTACAATTTGGTCACAAATTTTCCGAACATGTACATTAACTGATAAAGCAGTGATTAATTGAATTTTTTCTCGGTGTTTAAGTTAAAAATTGCACTATACGGTCAGCAATGCGCAAGTGATGAATTTTAAATTTGCTGCGTCACACGGCGTGGACCATGCAATTGCGCCGCCTCCAATGTTTACTTCCCACAGAGCTGCTGTATAGTAAACAACTGGCGTAGCTTCTGCTCTCTTCCTTTATGGTGTGCGACTGTGCTTCTCTCCTCACCGCGGGAAAGCAAAATGAAGAGCGTGATGCGTCATAATGAATGCACAAGCCCGACATTGTTTGAATTCCAAAATAAAGAAGTAATTTTGGAGGTTTACGCGTACTCTTCTGTTTTTCCCCTCTTCATTCATTGCCCAGAAATTTAATAGTGAATATCATCGGCATTTCTATTTTACGTTTTGGAATTGACTTTTCATTTATGCATCATTTAAAATTTTCAATTTCTGAACAACTCCTGACAATAGCACAAGTTTACAGTAGCTTACTCTAAACTATCTCTGATAGTTTAGGGTTCATAAAGTGATTTCTTCTAGTTGACGATTTCTCCTCTGTCAATGGTCATTGAAAAAGTCCTCGAATGACGCGAACACTTATCAAATTAAGTTGTTCTAGGCTAGACCTTACCTCTGCAAAGGTATGTATATGATTTTGTCCTTGTCTTGACCTAACCTGGTGAATTTCTGCGTGTCACGCCCGGAAATCTCAGTCAAAAATTTCGATCAACCTAACATGTTTTGAACTTAATTGAGACGGAAATTGGGTTCATCATTGCACAACGGTTATTTATTACTCAGCCTTTATCTCACCTAAAACTTGTCAAGTTGGTAATAAATTTAACATGTAAACTTTAAGCTAATCTTCTTACTTTGATGCGTCATGCACTTTTGCCCAGTACATTAAAAAGTGAATATACTGGGCAAAAAGTGAATATAGTATCAAGTGATTTCATCAGTTTCTTGAAGATTTCAAAAAAATTACAACTATTTGAAATAATTACAACCATTTTTATTTAAAATTACCAAAAAATTTAAAGCTTTAATATCTTCTACCCAAGCTTCGTTTATTTGAGTGATAAGCGAAAAAGGCATACTCTATTCAAAATATTGAAAAAATATATAGATTTAAGAACGTATTCTGTACTTCGTATCAAAGGTACATGAAAAAAAAACTAAAATTTCCCTATCCATTTATTATCGGTACCGTCTTCCATTTAGAGTGTTACGACAGATATGTAGACCTATCGACCGTGTTTATAACGTCCGATTTTATCGTAACAAATGGAAATATATTTATAAAATAATTATTTGATTGATTAAGAAATCGTCTGGACATTTATTTTATATCCTATGGGTCTCATATTTGATTGAAAATAGGAAAATAAAAAATTAGGCAGTGTTGTTTAAGCATTATTGTGTGACGCTTTTCTAAGATAAAAATAATTCATATATGTAGTAGGGTTGATATTAGTCACATTTCGGGCGTGCCTGAGCCCCAAATCAAGACAGTATGACGAAATCTATCTCGCCGAGAAAAACATATAACAATTGTCGTAAAACTTTATTTATTACTACATGTATCTAAGTCACAAATCAAACCACATGAATTAGGTGTAATCTGAAAGGTGGACTGCATGGGTGTGTATGCATTCATGAATAACACATTTCGACGCTCAGTAGAAAACAAATTACGTTTTAGAATACCAGAAAAAAATATCAAGTCTCATGACCCATGCAGTGCTCATGGAATAAGTGACGTAGTAGCTCAGTTTGAAATGCCGTATAGTCAGAACCTCTGCAACGGTCGAAAACTCACAATATAGTCGCCTAAGCCCCAGTCATCTATCTTAAACAGCCATTCGTACACTTGGGACGTGTACGAAATATTGTTTTAGTGGATATCAGCTGAACGTAGGCCAGAAAAAACCGATAGGGTAACATTCAATTCCTAAAGAAAAACATATGGCGAAGAATTCACTCATGCATGACTGATGATTAAAAAAGAATCGTGTCTTGCCACTTTGCTTTGGTTTACGCATAAACAGTAAAAGAATGCTTTTGTTTCATGTGAAAAGATTCGCAAAATTCGGTTTACTGTTTAAATTCGATTGAAGTAAATTGAGTGAGCTATGATTGTTTTATGTAAAAATTAGAATAAACAGAAATAGAAGAATCTCTCAGAAATAGAATAAACATAAATGAGGATCACGCTAATGGCATTCAGTTAATGCATTTTTTTCAGTTCGTGGTCACTCAGTCAACACGCGCGTTATGCAACGATAAGAAGGGTACCTTTCATGTTGGTACGTACACTTCAAAGTTATGCTTGACACGACTAGACGACAACTCGGACAATATTTTTGAGGTAAGGAAGGTCTGAGATAAATAGAGGCTAGTTTATGCATTAGAAGTGATCTGTCAACTCATGAGAGCATATACAACTGATTTTCTGTTGATCGTGCATAGCTTTTATCCCTTTACATATCGATTCCCTTCTCAAAGTTTCAATTAAATAGTAATGTTATATTATGCCGCCGCCGTTAGTGAATTGATTAGAGTGGATCAATTAATAATTCATTTTAGAAACAGAGCAATTTTATAGACAGTCTGAAGTCAAAAGGATAAGGTAACTGCATCATATATAATTACCTTCTAATTTAATAATACCACCGTTCCAGACCTGAGGTTTATTGTCCTCGGTGTAGCAGGGCGTGCCTCGGCCATGGTTCCCATGCTGGGGTGGCTGAGGATGCGCTGGAGGTTCAGGTAGTCTATGACTGCCGTAGCCATTTTGGTCGTGAATATTAGTGGCGTAAAATTGCGCTTCTCCTAGTGCGGGGGCTAGAATAGCACATAAATAGATTAAACAAGCACCACCCCGCATTTTAAACTTAACTCGAACGCCACACCCGCACAAGATTAGTCTCTACCAAGTTCTCATCTGGCACCGGATCTACAAGGAAGAGAAGTTTTGATTTATTTTGCGAATTTTGGGTAACTTGACCATCGAAATTACATTGCAGAAATAGGAAAAAATTAAACAGTTGCGAAACGAATGTCAGTTTCGTGTATTAAGAATAAACGAAAGCAATGTCAGTTACATGAAAACGTTCGCGTACAGTTCATGTTGAAATTGATAAGATACAGACTCTTTGGTGCAGTGTAATCTTTGATTTTATTAATCAATGAAGGTAAAATAAAAATTTATTTATGAGCAAAACCAGTTATTTACATCCCAGAAGAGACTATAAGTGATTCACAGAGTAATGTCTCTATCCCAAATTGAAATTTTCAATAAATGACGTCTTTGCAACTAGATAAGTTGAAAGCACAAAGGTACTTCAACGTAAAAATTTTCGAAATTGAAATCACGACTATTCATTTTTATTTACTTAAATTATGCTTCATGACGCTGTTCTCGAGCGAACGCGCGTAATGAAGCCCAGAGCGGACTAGCACCATGACCAACAACCACCACCGACTGACGTAGACGTAGAACGCCACCCGTCCGCACGACCGTCGTTCACCCGTACTGACCGCGAGGCCTCTCGGCATCACTCCTCCCTCAGCTTCCACTCACCATTGTTTGTAGTGTTTGGCCAAGACTAGGCCAAGTTTGGCCTATTATATTTCATGACATTCTCACGTACCTCGTTAGCACATTCTTACGTTATCGCCCTCATAATGAAACGAGGGGCAAGCAAGAAACGGCATTTTACATATTCAGTAGCTTTCGCGAACGTGTCAGCATTTCTCATTCCATCTTAGTGGAATCGTGTTTATTCAAATATTTTATTAAAACGTTGTCTACAAAGTTCTGAATGTACGCATTAGACGATGTTATATATAATATATAATTTTGAAACATTGTTTTATCACTGCTAGCTTCTTTGGAGCCGTACTTTACCTGCAGAGAATACGTGACAGCTTCGACACTTTCCTTCGGTGATGGACGATTCGAAACGAGATCGTTTTTTTGAAGAAGTCATGTTAAATACAGTAATACGGAACGGCCTACTTCGTCAATATATCACATGAGGATGTTTAATTTTTTTTTTCTAGTAGTACGACCAAGGAATTCCATAATTGGGAGATTTAGGGCATAAACTAAAAAGACAAATTGATCGAAGCCATAGAAGATATGATTCCACATACATAAGTTATTATGATGTAGGGGTATGGTTGTGGTAGCATGACAGGCAACAGGCACAGTCAAGATAGGCAGTGCAGCAGCACTCTCCCTCACGCCCCTTCCGGTGCCGGGCGCTCGCGGCTCCCAGCGCGGGTCTAACAACCGTGCATAGCAGCAGGAGTAACAGCCAAGGCTGCTGCTTGGCAAACCTGGGAAGCCCCCAACATTCCTGTTACAAATTCTTTGCACAATTTGTTGAACATCTTCATGACCTTGAAATGATTCTGGAGCCAGCATGAAGCTAATTTTGTGTATTCTTTTCGCATTAAATTACTTCAAATTTCATCCATCAGTATGTCCTTTCCAAGCGCTGGCCTAGCGAGTAGCGAAATCAAGGCTAAACTGATCTCACTAATTAGTGGGAAACGCGTTGATTCATAGTCAAAATAACTTAAATTTGGTTAAGATAGACTGATAGACTATGAGTCTATGACTTCTGACATCATGTTCGAAAAAATTATGAAATCGTCCAACTTTATTCATAAATTATGTCCTTATCGCGGGTTCCATTACGTATTAGAAAAGCATGTTGGACATTCCATTGATAATTTGGGTATAAAATTTTTAGATGCAGAAAATTTCTGGCTCAATTTATAGAATTATTGTTGGCGTTTGAGAGCTTCAAACGGGCTCAATCGAAAATCTGAAAGCCGCATGTTGCAAGAGACAGGACAATGAAATGTTCACACTAGAACAAAATCATAAACTTTATACGAGATAACATTTAAAGTAAGTAACTATGAATTCTACCGGCATTATATTATCAAGTAATCATAGCACACAAGGGATGCGGATTTGTGATAAACAACCATTTTGCGAATATGTCAGGTCACAGGTGGTACAGTAAGAATTACGTGTAAGAATATAAATAAAGATGCACTTAACTTTAAAGAGTAATGTTTTGAATGCTTTTGCAAGTTACAATGCTTCCTGTAGGTTAATATGACAAATTGTAGCAAATTAGATACGATGTTGCCTGTAGGTTAATAGGCAAATTAGATACGAAAACGAGTTTCAAAAAAATCCTTAACATGAAAATAATAACGGATACTAACTACTAATGGATTCCTCAATCTCGAGCAACAATAAGAACATCATTGTGCACCATGGTGAATATGCACCTCTAACTTTAGTCATGAAAATTGACGTATAAAAAAGAAGCAAGAATATATAAAACCAACTGTACTACCAAGACCTAATTTTTCATCTTGGACAGCTTACTGAGACCCAAGGCTGGGTACAAGACGGCAGCAACTGACATTAAGACAAGTTTTAAAAAGCCTGCATATATCATTTCCAATCACATCAAGCTCATCTTAACTCATCCAGCAGTTACTGGTACTTTAGTGTGCCGACATCAATTGCTTGATACTTTTAGGAAGATTGCGTGCGAAGACTATGGTAAATTACTGATTTTGGCAAACGGAGACGCCGGTGGTGGCACAAATGAAGAAAAAAAAGTCCTCTCATAAGCAGCTCGACTTCGCTCCAACAAAGCGATACATTGCGTCAATGGAAAGATTTACATTCCTCCTTCTATTCATTAGGAACGAGGCGTTAAATTTTGTTACACTGCAGCTGCATCAATATTCCATAAATTATCAAGAGTGTGCAGACGCGGTCAGGATTGTAATGAAGGAGACATTAGCTGTGAAGATTAAACCGATAGAATTGGTATGGTGCAACAGCGAGTCAGATTCAAGTTATTAAACCTCCAGCAAGTTTATTATTATTACTAGTTATATGATAATATTATTAGTTAATGTGTAAAACCTCCAGCAAGTCTCATAAGGCTCTCGGATTTAGCTCAACCGAATGCATGTGCCCTTCTTATACATGGATTATTTTGTAAGTGGCGCAGTTGATAGGGAGGCTAATCGCCTCCCTGAAAGGAGCAAGTGTGATCAGTTCTTTTTAATAAAAGTTGACTTCTATTATGAACAATTGATAACAGTATAAACAATTTGTAAAGAAAGGCTGTGGAGCAGGCCTACTCATGTTGACAAATTCATATCAAGAAAATTATTACCAGGGTTTTTCTTCGTTGAGAACATGGACGCCACTAGAATACTCAACTAGATAAAGGTCTTCACAAACATATTGTCCACCGAAAAATTATTGTGGTTAACAGGCCTTTGGATACGATTAGAATTGACAACAGTGATTATAAACAGAAACCAATCGTTGAGCAGCACATTTACAACTAAAATTCAGCGCTTCAAAATCCTAAAACAAGAAATAACTGTCACAGCAACCTTGTATAACCAAACCAAACTAGAGGATAAGTTGACCATAAGTTTAGAGTAAAAGTATAAAACAATATTGCATCCTTGGCATTCTTCCTGCTGTTGCTCAAAGATTATAAGAAGATAAAAATTAAACATTCATTCAAAATGACATTTTTTGCGATACTTCTCGACGATTCAGATGCACGTCACATTCGGCAAACTGGAAAGAACACGCTTCCTCAACATTTCTTTCAATTGTTAAGTTTCACAAACGCACTCAACTACCAAATGAACAGAAATGATGTGCACTTTGTGCAAACTTGGGTACAGTCACGATAAGACTTGTACATCATCTTGAGCAATGCATATTAATGGACTATTGTAGAACCTGAGAATGTTTAAACCGACTATATCTTGGGCTGATCCTCATATTTCAGCAAATAATGATCCATATCTCATACCGATAATTATCTCAGAACATTCATCATCATATGGTTAAACTTACATTAATTAAGACACAACATTTCCTCGATTTCAAAACAATTGATTCGTTATAGATAACACAGCTAAATATTTTAAAACCATTATGTGAAAATTTCAATAGTTAACTCCGTTGTCACGATTGATCAGTAACATCATACATATTGTGGTAATGTGTTAAGTAGGGACAACATTATTCAGTGTCAATATAACTTCACCAAATAATTGTGATTTATCATTAACATCAATTAGTCAATAGCGAAAATGAAAGCTTCTTGTACCAGTAAATTTTTTCACGACTGACCCTCCGTACTTCAGGAGTGTTGCAGGATTCCATCTCACAAGCCGAAATTTTCAATATTCTTGAATTGGTTCACAAATGCGCTGCATAGATAAATTTCTTTGATCAAAATAACTTGAAAACCATACGATTGATGTACGAATGAAAGCGGTTAATCAGTATATCATTTACATAAAGATAAAATTATTCAGCAATAATAAGTCAGAATGTCTAAACTAGCGCTTTCTAAGCGAGAAAGGAAAGCGTTAGAAATGAAAATTGATACACAGAAAAAATAACAGAAAAGAAATATTGAAGCTGTAGACAAAAGAAGTAACGGCTGATATCATACATAGTTCATGTACACCTGTACTAATTCGTTTATTGTATTTCTACGATATTATCAACAGGACGAGCAAGTACTTGAATAATTAAATATTTTTATTAATCAACTATTCGGTATTAAATTGTGTTTAAGAAAACATGGAAAGATTTCACGGTCAATTATAATCAGCAAACAATAAAAAGTCGACACTTTCGTCATTGTTTGCAGACATTGAAGGCTTTATATGGACACGTTGCTGACACAGTCTTCAGTAATAAGAGTAGTCCCAGCAGTACAAACAGAAGTCTCAAGAGTCGTTATTATAAGTCTCAACCGTCACTAATATAAGTCTTAATGTCATTTGTTACCAGAAGTCCCAATTGCCGTGCCTGGGTGTCTTAGTAATGAAGGTCTTCAAGCATGATAGAGATTCTCGCGGTCTTTGAAGATATCACAGTCTTGTCGATGGGAACTTGTCGTCAGTCAATCAGCTTATTAGCATCGACACCCTAAGAGAAAATAAAAATTCAGTTAAGTCACAGATGAGAAACTTTGCCAAATCTTAACAACCGCAGACATAAAGCTCAATGGAGCCCTACGATAATTAACCGTACTGAACAGCTTGTCATAACGCGCTGATGTGATGAAGCGGAATCATGAAAGTGGTATGAAGAGTAATCTCACTTAGGGATAAATATCGCATTGAAAAATACTTCAAACGGGGGTATTTAACTGCTGATTGCCGCACAACCGAAAAAGTTATCTTCCTCTAAATTCTCATCAAATGAGTAGATTTGAATTTCATATCTGCCGACCGTTCACATCCGATTCTTACTAAATTTAAATTCTTCCGTCACAAAATCAGTGAATATTTTAGTCTGAAAAAATTCCAGCAAAGTGGATTCTTTAAAAATGGTGACGATTGAAGAAGGTACGGTGTAAAACCTTAATAAAAATCTGTAAAAAATTTAAATTCGTATCGTGTAGCGATTGATTAAGAAATCGATGAGAGTGTTTGGCAAGAAGTTCGTCGTCTAAAATATAGGTATTTATTATGTAGTACCTTCAATGCTGTAACAATATTATACAGAATTCATTCATAAACCCTAAAAATTTCACTCTCAGTATAAAATTTCCAAACATCCGACACTTAAACTGAGAGTATATAATGTTCACAAATATTTAAAAATCTCGAATCGATCAAGCATGAAATCACCTTGCGTGCTCTCAATGATAAATAAACTTTGCATAATGAACCAATCAGGCACAATTTTGATGACTTCAAATTCCACGACTCTTTTCATAAATTAATTTCATCACGAAAAGTCCACGATTTGGCCTGCAGCTTCACTACACTCTCTCATAGTGCTTTAAAAGTGTACACATATTAGATAAAACTAAATTAGACTAAAATATGAGGACGGAAGTAATTCCTTAGATTTGTTAAGTTTACTGAACATTAAGCATAAGCAGATATGCAATATTTTTTATGATTGAGATAGAAATTTTCTAAAAGTGGCATCCTAATGTTGCAATATTGTACCGATAAAATATGTAAAATGCATTAGAAGTAAGCTGGTATAATGCACTGCATTAATGTTCTTCACATACTTCTAGAATAGCTACTCGTGTTCCGTCAGTGCATTTTAAAACAGCTGAATCATTACTAGAACTCCAAATTAAATACATTCCAGGCAATACAAAAAAAAAAAAGTTAATTCGCATCGCATAGTTTACAATCGAACGTTCAAGTTCTGATCAAGCCCTAAACAGCTACAGAATTCCTCTCACGTAACACTCTTTGAGCTCAAGTTCTACGTTTTAACAAAAGTATCAACAAATTGTCTTAATCAATCAAATTTTTTCTTATTAAATTTTAACTTATTGTTAATTTTGTAATTAACTAATCATTAATTTTTCGGGAGGTGAATTTGATTCACAAGAACAGAATGAATCAAACGCCACGAAATGCAACAAGTAGTAACGTTGAGATGCAGCATCCTTCGTCCCTCCCACTGAAACAGCTAAGAGCCTCAGCGGCTATTTCATGTAAATTCATCCATAGTACGCGCATTATCATAATCAGGTTGATGATAATTTTTCGTCCAGAAAAGATTGATTGGAACAATCATATCCTCAAGTCATGGCCTTATGTTCACAAGAACATTTGTTTTCTTACCGAATAACATTAAGCGGAACGATCATGTTTTTCTCGAGACGCGCGAGCAGTTCGTCACCGAGAGGTTTGGGGAGCTCAACCCAGGAATATTTGTCGATGATTGTGATGTCCTCGAGCGGCATGCGCACGGGCACTAGCAGCGTCAGCAGGAAGCCGTCGTGAGCGCCAGGCTCGACTGACGTCTGCAGCTCGCAGGTCAGCACGCCCTGAGGCCGGTGAGGTGGCAGCTCCGCACCGAAAATCTCCTGCCAAGCAAACAGTCATTGTAAGCGGTGGTATAGCATACGAAATTAATTAGGTTTTTAATGGAAAAATTTCGTAACATTTCAAATATGACTAAGTGAAATAACGAGAAGGTGGCACAGTGAGAGAGCCAAGTAACAGCATTAAAAGATAGCCAAACATCTGCATCGGCTACCGTCGAACATACGAATGTAAATTTTGGCATAAATATATACTCGTATACAAGCAGATTAAAGCTATGCGATGCCTCCTCATTCAAACACTATAAATAACATTAATAAATAACAAACCAACTATCAGAAATGTAAAATCTATAAAAAATTAACCCAAATTCGTAAATTAAATTTCTGATTGAATTAAAAAAATATGACATTTTAAGACGTGTACACTTTACACAAAATAAGACATGTCCACTGGAAACGAGTTTAATGAAGTTGCCATTGACAAATCATCAAGAATTCACGGAATTATTAAGAAAATGAGTCACAAACCGTCATGTATTTTTTGAGCGTGTAGTGCAAGGATCTGACGGGGTTGATCTCAGTGGTGGGCAGATGGGTGCTTGTCTTGTCGCTCACCAGCACACACATGCGGTTACTGTAATAACACAATAATCGCATTAATAACAACTATAGTTGCAGCATCAAGAAACAGTCAATCATTTATATTCATACAATTTGTCATCGCCGTTATTTAAATAAAAATTGAATCGATGATTTTTTGCCAAAGTAAGTGTACAAGATAATATCGACACCTATTGCGTCACTCGAGCATTTTCAGGTCACTCGATCATTTCTGAAAATCATTTTCAGGAAAGATGACAAACGAAAAAACATCTACGTCAATGTAATAACGCGCAATAAATACTCTCTAAACGGCCTTCAGGATAATTTAACATACATTTTGAAACCAAGCTAAACAAATTTTTCGACAGTTAGCAAAAAGGGCATATTACTATTGAATCTTAGAACAAATTTTTGGCCCTTGTTTTCTAAAATTACTGTATGAATAAAGTGACGTTACTTTGAAGTCCACTCGCATTAATTCGTGGATAAAATGCAGTTATTTGCATTATTTTCCAGTGTTACAGTAGGGACACCGAGCCACGACTTGTAATCTAGGGTACTTAAAAACCAATATATATATATATATATATAACTTTATATACCTAACAAATATATATCATATCACCTCTATAAAAATCACGGTGGCGATATCACTTCTATAAAAATCACTGTGACGATGGCAATATTACTTCTATAAAACCTTTCGTGGAGCCTCACTTAGCCTTCTTCCTGACGGCAATGAGCAGCCTGAGCATCATCTTGGAGGAAGGTATGCTGAGAGGCAGCAGAGGGGCGTGCCACAAGGCGCGGTCAGTTGACGAGTGCTGGCGCGCGCGCTGCACCAGCGAGTGGATGTCGTTGCCGCGCAGACTCAGCTCCTCTAAGTTGGCTACCCACATCGCCTGCAAGCTCTCGCTGTCTGCCTGTGCTGGTGTTTTTAGGCTCCCGCCTGCACAGGGATACTTGGAGCAGTGAAATTGAGGTATGCATGCAGAACTTATGGATAGTTTTGCAGTGACGACAAACCTAAACTAAGACTTTGGAGTTCTTATGTAACATTTTTAATGACGAGAAACCAAAATTAACGATCCTGGACTCACACGTAACTACAAACCGAAAACAGCACACCAGGACTCGTAACGACCAACCGGAACCGAAGCAACACAATAAGACTCACCCGTAACTACAAGCCTGAACCAACACTAAAACACACCCGTAACCTGAACCAACACTAAGACTCACCAGTAACATTGCCGGTGACGACAAACCTAAACCAAGAGCCTGAGGCGCACTCGACCATAAGGAGCGTAGTGATGGCCACCTCCAGGCCGGTCTCCTCCAGCACCTCGCGTTTTGCTGCCTCCTGCGCGAAACATAGAATAAGAGCAGGAATACTCGGGAACAAATAGGGAAGATAAATAACAAATGGAAGAAAATATGATTATTAAACGATTTTTTTTTTTTCATTGCATCCACCGCAGCAATGTTTAGTTCAAAACCTCATTTGTGATTGGTTAACGGGTTCCATCAAAATGTGGTTTTACAGTCTTATTACCAAAAGATTACTACAAATATTAGGAGCCAGAGTACCAACAATATTTAACATCGTATACCGATCAAGTTTGAGTGCATAGAACAAATTAAACTTTTAATATGTTGGTCCAATAGATTTACATAATTAATTGGGGTGAACCGGAATGCATGGTGTAACGAAATTGCCATCGTTCCGTGCCTGATAATGTGATATTTCACAAAATGCAGTACAGTACCGGTATTCAGCAAGAAGCAGGAATGTATATATAGGACAATGGATTTTAATAACGGAACTAAAACAAGTTTAAAATCTCAATTCAAATTCAAATGGCTCAAAAATAAATAGTTAAACAACTTGATTCGAAATTCCCTCGAGGTTTGAACTAGGTATACTTCTAGGCGGCAAGGAAGGAATCATAACTTAATTCTTGACTAGAGGGCATCATCAAGAATGATGAATCGAGTCATATATACACAGTGAATTCATTAATGGTACATCACACAAGTTTGTAGAGTGAACACAAACACAAACTCACTATGATGTTCTCGCCAGGCTCCAGACGTCCTGCCGGCAGGTACCACTGGCCAGCGCACGATCTGTGAGGATCTTCTTTGAACTGCCACATTTAATGCTTAACACGTGCATGAGATCATTTGCTTATTTTTAAATCGAAAATTGATACGCAATGATGATTTTTTGAAGGCACCATTGTTTTTTCCGTTTGATTCAGTCCTTTTTTGTTTACTTAATAATTTTTTAAAGACTTCTATCGGACGTCATTATAGGTAAACGAGTATAATAAATTTCTAGTAATTTTTCACGCTTCCTGTATAACAACCAGGAATAATTCAGACTATAATCGATAAACTAAAGTTATACAAACCCATCACGACCGATGAAATTCGCTCGATATGTTTGGGTTGTTTGAGTTGTTGAAATGCGAAATTATTTTTCAAATTTATCGTTGCTTCGATAAAAAATAGTAACTTTAACAAACCATATATATTTGGATATCATCGAAAACATTAAGGATCAATTGTATTGATTGATGTTCGGCATGATGACATGAGGTCCAACACAACGAATATTATAAGACATAGTTATTTCTCAGCGGCATGATTTTTTCTCTGATAACGCTGATTTGATGTTAGGTATTGTTTGATGGTTATCTGGAGTACTAAAACTAAAACAAGCTAAAAATGTTCAAACAATACACCTCAAACAAACAAATAATATGAATAAAAAAGTCCATGAAGAAAGAACTCGTGCAGCGGACGAGAGGAAAATATTTCCTACATCTTTCAAATCAGTTTTTGTCATCTTGAAAGATATAATCATGAGGTCAAATATATGTAAGTTTTACAAGATAAGAAGGTTCACAAGTAATCAACCGAAAATTTGAATCTCAACGCACAAGCGAAAATTTGGGATCATCAATAAATTAGTTGGAAGCGATGTTCTGACCTCTTAGCCTCCTGCATCATGAGGACCTGGCCTTCATCGTTGATGAGCACCGCGGCGACGATGTAGCAAACGTTGTCTTTCAGCGCCGGCGTGAAGGGCACAGGCGCTGCCGGTGCGCTGCCTTTAGAGTCTGTCATAATAATACAGAAAAATTTCAATCTTTTACAAGAACTCTTATATTATAAGTCACGATGACTTCATTATATACACGAATCAACCATGATCAGTAATTACAATGTATGAATAAATTCCGGACGAGTATTCCTGAACGAAGCTGAGGTATAAATACCGGTACATCTGCAACGAAATAGCAAAGCTGCTGCATTATCAAAATTAGACGCAAAAGAACACGATTAATAGCAGGAATAACCAGAGACAATTTCCGAACTAAAGTCAAAAGTAGTAGCGCAGTCTACAGTCATAACTGAGGATACGCACTGATTCTCAGTTAGATCAGCAAATTAATCGATCACAAAACCATGACAGCTGCAAAGCAGACGTCACCACAACACATGATCGATACAAACTCTCACTCATTGACGGGGATTGTGGCACCTGTTTTTTTACCACCATATTAATTGAAGCGGATGAATAATGGTGACGATTAACAATGCCACGGCACGTGCAACAGATACAAGTCGCTCACCATTGAAGGTAATAACAACTAAGGTTTTAGAAACAAAGGTGTGCTATTGCATACAAGAATTAAAGTCACCGACGGAACCCAATAACATGAAAGGTGGCCAAAATCGATTTTTAATACTGACAGTCAATTAAATTGAAAGGTTCACAGAACAATTTAGTCACTTGCCGATAGATCATATATATAAATGCATTCAATTCGGCATGGAAAATATGTGTAAAATGCGAAAAGGAGTGCAATGCATCATCATATAATTTTATGTCACTTATAGCAATAGGCAAGTTTTCCGTTATTTTATTGACTATACAAGTGCGAAAACTCGAGACTGCAAAATATTAATGAGAGACTAACTCGCATGCACTGATGGCAATCGTGCTGTAGAACGAAAGTGTGGTGTCGCGAGGACAGTTCCACTTTCAGCCCTGCACTTTCTTTGCGAGGTCAATGGAGTGGAGTTAACGGGTCGGCGAGAACACTCGACTCCAGAGTGATTTAACTGAAATCAAACCCTATTCCTGACAACGATACCACTAATGTTAAACAATTTGCACTGTTTTTAAGAAAATAAACAACTTTCCTTCATTTGATTACTATTAAATAAGCAACTATAGACGATAATGATACGAAATCTTTCCAGCGACGATATCGAGCATCGATCCGAAAATATTTTATCAGAAGATCCATCGATAAAAATAATACGTCTGTGCATTAAATTAGAAATTGGGCATTCAGTAAATTTCGGAAGAAAGTCCGTCACATCGTATCTTAGTTTGCTGAACTCGAGTTTCTGAGAGAATGTATACTCATGCATGATGTATCTTGTGAAAGGAGGAGGATAATTTAACACTTAAAGCAAACGTTTATTCATCTCAAAATTCAGATTCCGAAAATATTGGCAACAGTATGCAAAACTGACCAAGTTTGTCTTCGAGTAACGTCCATCGCAAATTTACCGATTAATTATGGATAAATTTCTCTACACATAATTTAAATTTTTGACATTGCAAAGATAAAAGTGTTATTAATTTTTGCTGTTTAACGTAATTAAAAAGTGTAGCCAGAAGTAAAATTAATGCAAATATAAGGAGAGACAGCAAGACACGACGTAGAATAATGTTGTAAGTTGTGATCAGAATTCTGAGCATATCACTCTGCACTTGAGCAATGAAATACCAGGGATGTTTGCAAGGCAGAGTAGCACGATAAGCATGCGTGGCCGTTTACATAGCGACCGTGGACAGGCGTTTGGTGAAAGCAATGTCTGTCTAGCACACTTGCTACTCCAACGAAGCACTCAAAGAAGCATACGAATTGCAGTTTCGCTCGTATTCAGAAGCATACGAGCAGTTTTGCTCCAGGGATAATTGCAAGTCTAAGAACATGAAGTTTATATGAAAATGTTAAACTTTAAATTAATACGCAGTGACGGCACTGCGCTATAGTTTTGTTTTGTTTCAGGTCGACACAAACTCAGGTAGTATATGACGCTGACGTGCCTGCCTTCCCCAATAGGTCGCTTGGCGGCTATCCGCTTCATTCTAGATCGCAGTTTTTGTGGTCCTGTAGCCAGTATTCTTTCCCAGATTGGGAATCACGTGGAAAACATCAGTTGAACTCAAGAGAGGAAGTGAAAATATCTCGGGATTTTTCGTAAAATATTTAGCACTGTACATCCAGAATTATATATAGACATATATCCTAAGAATTTACCAATGCTAAGTATCGATCAATTTGCATACTTTAGTAGAAATTCTCGATTTCAAGAGAGCAGTGTCACTCTTACCCATAAATCGACTTCGCAGTATTGAAGAATTTTGCATCTAAATTTCAATATTACATTTTTCATTTTTGAGCTGTAATTTATAATTCTAGCATTATTTAAACATCTAAAAATAAAATTTATTAGAAAATACTTTGGGCATTGTCATTGCCGTTTTATCACATGAGTCACGTTTCGGCACGATTGATTATCATCGTGACCTTCGCAATCGGTCTTGAATTTAAATGACTTGCATGAAACGACAGACCAGAGCTGACTTTCATTCATCAGTCAATGTTTTATACCCGATCAAAAGCTGCAGTCCTGAACGAAGAAGGTAATTAAGTTAGTGGTTATGGTGAGAGAGTCTCCAGACCATCAGTCTCCAGACTGAAAAGTCTCCAGACCATCCAGACAGAAAAGTCTCCAGACCATCAGGTATATACGTAGCCATGTGTTACACAAAGTAAAGTGATCAATAACAGCTAGGAAAACTCAAGTGCGTTTTTATTATAAATTAGATTTATGAATTCTAATGTGAAAACTAATTTCATTAGTTTGTACTTTAAGTATCAACTATTCCTGTTTTTAGCAAAAGTCTATTGCGAAAAGTTGATCAAGTGTGACTATGAACAACAAACTATGAACAAATTTTTACGCAAATATTTTAAACGTGTCGGGGACAGGTTCTGGCTCATATAAAAGACCAACGCGTACTTAGAAACAAGTTGTTTTGCGCCCATAATTTGAATAAAATATACGGCCTCTAAGCCATGCTTACTAAAACAGCCGACAGTAGGTTATTCCACATCAAAGCGTGTATTAACAGAAAAGAGGATAAAAATTCTTTCATTAAATAGATTAATACATATTTACCAAGCACCGAGCGAAAATGCGCGTATCTTTGTGCGGTTATAATTGTCAATAGGTACAGTTCACAAAAGTGGTGTATGGGTTGAAGGAGGTCAGGAAATAAATTCATAAAACACGGCAAAATATAAAGCTAATTTCTAAATTTATTTATATTTTTTTAGTCAGCACACGGTATGCAAGGCCACATGAAATTCGTAGTGAAAGTGACACCAGACGACGGAAGATATACCTGCACGGATATTCCTAGTAACATTTTATTTTCTTGCATCCATTAAATACCAATGTTTTCGGCGACCGCACATGCGATACATGTGTGGCAACAGCGCATACAATAAATAGTTCAACATAAACCCCCAACTAGATTAAAGATGTCGTGTGAACCGTCACTTTTGCCGATTCTTTTGCCGTAGAAACAAGCTGCGCTATTATAAACGGAACAAAAGGCATTCGTCACCGTGCGGTGCGGTTGGCCGGCCCGATTCAATCCTTCTGATTCCGTTACTCCAGCCTTCAAGTCTCGACAGTAGCCGCACTGCGCCAGGCCTCTACATGTCATAAGTTTTAAATTCCTAAAAATTGATACGTTTGACTAGCGACATTCTAAACGGAAATTATGGTAGCAAAAAATAGCGTGAATTAAATCGGTAATTGCTCTTTAAAATAGAAAATTTTGTCTCGGATAATCGAGCTTTTGTTTTTATTGAGCAATTATGAATATTTCAATGCATGAGCGGTAATAAACATATACGAAGCTTGGGTCGTTAGTGCAAGCTATCACGAGATCGGCGTTTGAATGTGAACACTCCTTTAGATAACCGTAGTTCTAATTCTTGACATAGATATATACTAGAACAATAAACATAGAAACTTTAAATGATCATTAATTTTGAGAGCATCGTCATATTATGATTCAACTTGTTAGCATCAAAGTGGCATACCACATATCAGCAATACAGCAGCGGGTGCACTCGGCGCGCTGAGTCGCGCTTGGACCGCACCTATGGTAGAGGCTGTATTCTATATATAATGGGCAGGGCCCGGGGCACTTTTCTGGGCTCTGAACTTGACATTCTTGAGTAGTGAATCCGGCGCACCTGTGATTCAGTGAGTTGGCTTCTCTTACTTGAATGAACTGATATGTTTCTCAATATTATTATTGGAGTTATTCATGATAACAAATTTAATCATTCCTTTAATTACAGGTCTATAATAATTGAAACATCTGTCAGAAAATTACTTTCTGGTGCATACAGCCTGATAAGAAGAGAATAAATTGGTAACTTTTGCTCCAAAATTGAGATCCAATGGAAAATAAGAATTGTGTACACTCATAAGCATTAGCAGTACAATCAAATTATACCAATTAGCTAGAGGCATCCTAAGATTAAAAAGGTATGAAAATTTTCCACCAATACAGATAAAAGTAGAATAATAATGTTTTCCGTAAATGTGAAATTAATTGCATTACAATAACGATAAAATTTATTACGTTATTATGAATAAATATATAGCAAATAATATTTTAAAAAGCTAAAATATTTTTTTAACCTTGCTCAGTATCAGTAGAACACATAAAATTTGTAATATGTATTACTTGCACTTTCAGGAACAAAGTTATGTCTGTTCAATTTATTTGCTTAGACCTTTCAAAATCTCAGACAGACAAACACAATATAACACTTTACACAAATATCCAAGATTTTAATCTATATCTTCAGTTCATAACAATTTTTAATATACCTATAAGCAATACTAAAAAAATTATTCACCAAGTCCAAATTATTATCACAATTGTTAATTGTCTACTTAGAAATCTATAAAATATCTTTTTTGACAATATAGTACTAAATAATAATAACTTACTTTTATAAAGTGGCTTTGAAATTAGCTAACCATCAATGTATTATGTATATATATAGGCCTAACATGTTTTTCTTAAATTAAGAATAAAATAATCTAAGATATAGCTAAAACAATTACAAAAAATATGATTTAATCTCAAACATTTTTCTCCCTGCTTGATGAATTTAGGAGTGATGAGTAGGTTAGGCTGGAATGCAATTATAAACATACTCAAATCGTTATTACTATTGCCGTATTGGAAGTATTAGGCAAATAGAAAATATCAATTCCCTTCTTACCAGTTATATTATTTTGATCTTCAAGGGTGAAATCACAATAATCTTGGCCTTCTTCGATGCTTTGACCTTTGAGTAGTAACTTTACATTTGCTTCCATCGTATCCATTTTTCTTCTAGCGAACTTCAAAATACTGATTGTCGTTCCTATGACGCTAAATCGAACCACATAACCTACACCAACCAATGCTACGCTTCGACTGACGAGTGACGACCGACCAGGGTTGCCAGATGGAGCCAAGAGAAAAAGGCCAATTTGACTCACAAAAAAGGCCCAAAAAGGCCCCATTTGAAATTAATAGAAAATTTTTAAATTCAAGGTAGTTCGAACCTTTTGCAGTGCATGCATTTACTCTCAAGGCTTTCAGACAGCAAAAAATACACCAATTTCATCACGTGTATGAGCTGAATTACCGTCAATGATACATAAGCCGCCAGCCTGCAGCGAATTGCACGTTACTCGCCGACCGTAAATAAAGCCGTATAATACATGATATTGAGGATTCAATTGCCACCTAACAACCATAAAAAAGGCTGAATATATCGAGAAGCTGTGCTGTAACCTCAAAAAATAGTGCTAAATGTACTGCTCTTTAGAAGTGAAAACTATACTCGATTATACGCTTTGTCAGCTCTGCCGTCCATGGTTCTTATCTTCTTAAATAATACGAGTCGGCAATTGGATATAGTCCCATGGTTCAACCAAAGTGTTGCCCGGATTAGGCGGCACTCGCTAGTGTTGCCACCTAAACCGCAGTGTTGACAGTTTCGTGTCACAATTTGAGTGTACTCGTCTTGGGCAAAACTGAATTTGGGTGCACTCGTCTTGGATAAAATTGAAGGAGCAAATTATCATAAAAAAACGAAAGTTACATTTTTCATTAAAAAAAGGCCCAAAACGGACAAAAAGGCCAAATGAAATTTTTCAGGCCAATGCATTTAAAAAAAGGCCACATTTGCGAAATTTGGCCTGAAAAAGGCCCATCTGGCAACACTGCGACCGACAATGTTGACAAAAAGTAAGGCGCGTTTAAAAGGCGAAATAGAAGTCTTTGAATGTTCTGTGTTCACGCGAATGTGCAAGCATGAGCTAGGTTCCGTTCATGACTACTAAGAGTTGGGTACTCTTATCACATTGATCCAAAAAGTGCTGGTGCAGCACAGTTTACACCTTCATTTTGAAAAATTACGGACTGAAAAATACTTTGAATTATATTTTTCTTAAATTCGATCAACAGAAGGATATATTACAGATTTTACCAGGATTGTTTTATGAAACCGTCACTGACACATCATGGCGCTGCAATGTGTGCGCCTTTGGATGAGATGATTTGAGTCTTGATACACCCAAAACATTGGAGCTGTTGACAGATGTAGATGAACACTCTTCCTCAACCCTCCGTGTGCTAGTCGAGTGACGTGTTAGAGGTTGTAACAGAATGAAGTTGTGATCGAAATTATTTCAACATGGTAAGATTTTTCGAGCTAAATTTGCAGGAATATAGTAATAATGTACCGGAATTATATCTAGCATGCTCATAGTGACAAAGCACAGATTTTTTAGAATCAGTTCATTTTTAATTTCCTCATTTACTTCAGATTTATACCAATTTCTTATGTATAATAATGCTGGTATCCAGGATACTTTACTGGTCTAGTTATAGGACTCAAAAATGAACTTGAGGGAGAGTCTAAAAAACTCTCTGCTTTGCCACTATGAGCATGCTATATATTGAAGGAACCCATCTCTTTATGTGTTTCGCGTTCGCCTGCTAGCCATTGGAGACTTTGGAGTTAACATCCTTTATGAAGTTGAAGTTGAACCAGCAAGCCAGGAGCAGAAGACCGGGATCTAGGTAGCCTATAGAACAACGGCCTCAACTCGAACTCAATGTATAAAATACCGTAATGACCGACTGACTGTATACTTCTTTTGCATTTAACAACTTCCTGGAATTTGAAAAAATGCCTTTTTGGTGAACAAATAATTATTAACACCTGACTGACCAGGGCTGGAAAAGTCCTTTTTTTCTGAATATCACGGCTCTAACATAGTGACAAAGCAGAGAGTTGTTTAGACTCTCTTCCAAGTTCATTTTTGAGTCCTATAACTAGACCAGTAAAGTATCATGGATACCAGCATTATTATACTTAAGAAATAGGTTTAAATCTTGAGTTATTGAGGAAAATAAAAATGAACTAATTCCAAAAAGGCTCTGGTTTGCCACTATGGGCTCTAATATAATATAATTTCAGTAGGTATGAAATCTCGGGGCTTTGATGTCATGTACCTATTTTTTTTATTGAAAAAATTGCAGTTTGCACTCTGCAAACCTATTGTTTCATAAAATTTTTTACCTCTGCCATCCGTAATAGCCTACCTAGTACCTAGTGACATAGTGACAAACCAGAGATTTTTTAGAATCAGTTCATTTTTAATTTCCTCATTTACTCAAGACTTGAACCAATTTTTTTATGTATGATAATGCTGGTATCCATGATACTTTACTGGTCTACTTACAGGATTCAAAAATGAACTTGAGGGAGAGTCAAAAAAACTCTTTGCTTACCTACTTCAACAACCCAACCAAAATATCCTGCGAAACGTAATAAAAACAAGGCAATCTAAAACGTTTCCTTAAATGTCATGTAGGGTAAACTCGGTATATTCCGACATCGTAGGTAATTCCGTCACCTCTCCAGCTTTTCCTTTATATTAAGCTTTGTTTTAGTTCCATGCGTTTGTTGATGGTTGAAATGGTGACGTCATGCATTTGCGAGTCAAAATAGGGTAAATGCGGTATATTCCGACATCGTAGGAGTTAAATTTGAAGCGCTGACGCAATACGACTCACCACGTGTCGAATATTGCCACACAAAGTGGTTGAATATAGGGATTTGGTAGGTTTCCATTCTAAAGGCTTTTTAATAAATATGGCAACATTTTGTGATGTTTCATCGTTGCTGACGCGTAGTGAAGTGTTTTGAGAGTCATGTGAAGGCAACAGAACTTACGTAACGCATACAGTTTTTTTTATAGTTTTTCATTTCTCGATGCGTCCTTAATGTGTCGGAATATACCGCGTTTACCCTAGTTGCAGACTTGTGGTCATGTCAGAGCCGTCAGACTGCATTATCACGTGATTAAATGCCACAAGTGAAGACAAATGTTACTGTTGACTGTTATTAGGGTAAAATTAGAGATTAGGGGTAACACCATCACATGCATGGAACTTGGTAAAAAGTTCAAGACTGCCGGCTTGTAAATGGCTTTTGATGGCCAAGGTATGGAATTAATGGCTTGAAGAAATTAAATCATGGCTGGCAAATCCATAAAACCACTGCTCAAAAAATTCAGTCATGGCTCTCCAAGTAGATATATTCCATGTCTGTTACTGACCTTTCTGACCAGAGTGTAATATCAATATCATCATCAATGCCACTATAGTAGTATAGTTGCCAGTGGTCCCAGCAGTACAGCACTTATGATTTATCTTATGTTGTTAGCTTAGCCCATCCTTCCATAGAAACTATATACCTATTTTGTAACAAAACTGAGCCACAATTTTCTAGAACAATCGGAAAGGCTTCATAATTATTATGTGACAATCAAACTGTGAAAATTTTAATTCTAATTTCTATGTCTGATCAGTACTATTAAGTTTTTTTGTAAAGTGACAAGATCAAGTGCAGAGGCAAGTTATTTAGTAAGTAGAGAACTACGTCATTAATAGTAAGGGTAGTGAATGAGGAAAGTCCATGCTTGCAGGTAATTAACCATGTCCTCATTGCTCAAATTTGAGCAAAACTTTGCTATAATTGTACAAAATTTTTGCATAATATCAAAGATCATCAGGAGTGATTTTTTAAATTGTGGACATAAATCTGCCCTTTTTCTTCATCTTCAGGAAAGAAATTGTCTCCAAATTTTGCACTAATGTTAACAATTACAACATATATAATTCATCTCATGGGAATCTTGCCATTCAAAAATGGCAAGAAATGTTAGAAAGCTCAGAAGGTAGATATGTATATTCCACACCTGGGTAAAGGTTATTAAAGAATGAAATTTTCCATACACATGGGTTTTTTTGCCTCATTCACTGTGGTTTCTGCCTGATCTTCCTGTTTGAATAAGTTCCCATGAGTTGAGAAGCCAAAATTAGGTACAAAATATTGTTGTACCTGAATCTTTACTTATGGCTGAGATTTAGTTAAGAAACATTTTGTATCTTAAATCAGCTATGTTGGCTGATTTTCATTTCCACCATTAATACCCTTAAAATAAGATAACTTCGTTTTATTGATCAAACTTGGTTGATAATTTTACAAATTTTTCATTCTATCTTCAATTTGATTAAAATTTTGTTTAAATTCACAAAGCTATTTTCTTTGCAGTCTGCCATCTTCAACTTCCAAAGCCTTCTGTGTGTGTTGCTTCTGCTCATCTGCACCTGCTCTTATATCCGCTCATTCATGCCATCGCTGCTGGACCGACAAAAAACAGGGTGAGAATACTATGTATATGCACTTTCCTTGGTGCAGACTAGCTTGTCTAATAATCTACAAGAGCAGTCCTCATTTTTCCCCCTTCAGAATCAAAATTGATGATATCTGATAAAAAACTCATACCGTAGAAAGAATGTGTCAGATAGTACCACGGTGCAAATACATAGGTATTAATATACCTGATCAGCCTCATTGCCAACTCAGTGCTACTGTGGAATAAATTAAGTATTTATTATTTTCTTCTGAGATATACCGTATCTTCTCCAACATTTCAGCTTGCTCGGCACTTTCTGGAAGATGGCCAGGATCGGTGAGCGGAAAAGCCCGTGGGTTGCAGCTGCCTGTATCATCATGGCCGTCAATGTCCTCTTTTTGTCATGAATATTCATTCGCAATCTTAGAATGGAAATTCTAGTTGTTTTTTTACTATCTTTTAGTAATCTTTATGATTCCATGTGCTTAACATAAATGCTTCATATTTTATTTTATAATTAGAGCCGTTTTTCTCTGCTCCCACAAACTCAATATGAATTTCTGACAAGAAATCAAGAAGCGTTTGAAATTTTTCCGAGTGTTAGTGAAACGTAATCATAGTTATTATGTTTGAATTTTATTCATCAGGCAAATTTATTGAATTGATATTTAGATAATAAATACAAGCTCACTGCATCACTTGAATTATTAGTGCCGTAAATAAAGTTAAGCATTACAATTTTTTCACAATAGACGAAAAACTGAAATTGTACAGCACTTGGCATTTAATGAAGAACGTAGATCTCTGTTGCAAGACACTAAAGCTCTACATACGAATAAAAATGACGTCGACAAAGAAGCTGTGAATGTTTATGAAATAGTTTATCCAATTGGATGAATTGAACAAGATTCGCCCTTAATTATTTCAAGCCTGGCACATACGTGTCAGGACACAACTCTGTAAAATGAAACCTTTATGAACACAAATGGCCTACTAAATACTAATATCAACTAATCGTACTCGCCATAATTCTTACCGCCGCTATTCAACATAAAATTTATTGTTAGTCAGGCTGACAACGCTGAACACCTGAGATGAGCCGCACTCTTTGAAAACTAGGTGAACTAATTACTTAGATTTAGTTGAGAACTAGGAAAGCGGAAGAGCAAAACTAAGATTACCGGATACTTGTAGCACCCGTTCTTGCATTCATTCATGCCATTGTTGCTGGACCGAAGAAAGGCGGGTGAAAATCCCGAAAAAAATGTGTTTAGGTGTTGATCCTATTGATAGACATTCAAGCTCACTCACTCTACAGGACGGATACGTTCATTGCATTTCAATGTCATACTTAAATTTATATTCTAGGCCCTCTATACACTAAGGGTTATCGCACACACTTCAAAATAAATTATAAAACTAACATAAGCAATAGCTGCAGCCTGGAAAACTGACTCAAGCACAAGTTACATGACGAGTCATATGCAGTTCAAAATATAACAAATAAGTACCATATTAATGCGAAGTACGGAGATATCAGATTTTAATTTACAATAAAAATTTCATAGTGAAATCTTTTCGTGCCTATGATGCATTAGTTTAGGTAGACTGAATCGCCAAGAACCGCAGTAAATAATCTTAATAATTTGGGCTAGGAGCCTAGGACTTCTCCAATTCCAATTAATGGCGCGCGGAAGCAAATTAATATAAATGAATGACACATTGGAACCTGTTTAATAAAAAAATCCAGTTTCTTCTTCCTATTCACAAGTGATCAAGTTCTATCAATGTCACTGTAAGTAGCATTGTTGGTATTACACAAAGTTGTTAAACAGATCAATACTAGCAGCAAGAAACTCCATCCTCTCGAGTTTCTTGCCGATCCTAGTAGCCCATGTTGCTTTACTATAAAATAGACTAGTTTGCTTCAAGGAAAGGCAGTCGAAAAATCGTTAGTTTCTTCCTCTTCAGTTTCAAGAACGCTACTGCCTTCAGAAGTCTCTAGGGCCCTGAGGATGTTGGCCCGGTCTCTCTTAAGGCCAGGGTGGTCAGGCTGGATGGTGAGCGCGGCCTCATAATCATTAAGGGCCTCATTGAGGTGCCCTCGGGCGGCGAGGGCAGCGCCTCTCCGGCTCAGGCACAGCAGCCGCGACTGCCTGGTTGCGGTGTCCGATGAAGGGCCAAGGAGCGACAGCGCCTGGCGATTACAATAGAATTGATAATACAGGAGCATTGTGAATAAGGACATGGAAGAATTAAAAAAAGAATAAGCGCGGCGTAAGGAAATGAGATAAATAACAAGTATCAACTTCAACGGAGACCTGTTTACTACTCTAAACCTAAAGTGAGTTGCCTCGCAAGTATACTCACATAAAAATTCTGACGGATAAAGACGTGCTCAAAAAATATCACGAAAAAATAACCCTCAAGGTATCCTTGAGATAGGGTAGTCAAATAACCTTGTTGGCGTCCTGGAGAGCAAGTTCAGGGCTGCCAGCGGCAAGGTGTGCGGCAGCTCTATTACTGTAAGCCCTCACGCTGTCGCCGCACGTCTCCAGCAGTGAGGTGTATTCCGCCGCACACTCGGCGTACTCACCACTCGTGAATAGCGCACTGTGCGGGAATATAACACTGAAGCAGGACAATGAATATCACCACACACTATGTACCTACAGTGAACATGTTATCTGATGCTAGTTTCGCAGAGTGTGTTGATCAAAACCGAATAATGGTACGTTAGTAAATGTTGTTCTTTTGTCAACTCAAGCGCATTGTCGTTGCTCAACAACAAGAAATTATTGTGCAAAATTATACATATATCCTACTTCTCGAATAAGTTCATCACCAAGTTTCAATATTCGAATTTAGATTAGCGTTCCATAGATTCCGAATTGAATTTTTTACAAATATTTCGGAATTTCACTAAGATTTAGGAAGAATTTGTTCATTTTTCGATACAAAATTCAAGAGCCTTTCGTTGGAATATCGAGATCCTCTCCAGAAAAAACCTACCTACTCCATTGTCAATCGTTCTGTAAAGATAGAACTTGAATTTCTCGTCAGTATGAACGACTGACTTGGCTTTGGCGATGATGCGCTGCGCAGCGTCAGCGCCGTGAACCTCGTCGTCAGGAGAGTCCCGGTGGGCGTCATGCGAGTCGAGGTGAGCGTCGCGCGAGCGTCGGGCAGGAACTCGGTCAGGACGTGCGGTGTAGCTCACAGTTACGTGTCGGGTAGGCCGCACGCCAACGTCGTTTTTATTGTTACCACTGCGACCCTGGGTGTTGAATTGGAAGAAATGTGAACATGTCACACAAAACGTGCCCTAAAGATCCCGTATATGACCTATGGAATCTGTTGAACATCACGAGAATTGATCACTAGAATCTTCTTGAATACGAGGAAATCTGATCGCTAGAATCTGTTTGAATATCGCAAAATTTGATCATTAAAATTTGTTCAAATATCGCGAACTCTGAGAAAATAATCTCCTTAGACATTACGGAATTGACCCTTCAAAACACATTTGAACTTCACGAAATCAAATCTCTAGGATCTGTTTGAACAACACAAAATTTGCGCTTTTGTGTATTGTACTCCTTAGTTCAGGGCCGCAGGGCTAATGATGAACTTCTCCAGGTGAATGCTGAGTCACAACTGAACTAATTATTAGGGTTTTTTCAATAAATAACTCGTACGGAAATTTTCATTGTATAGTGGTTTCATGTATGCGCTTTTTAGCACAACAGACCTTGGGTGCAAATCTTAGTCGATAGACACAAAAGGTTTTGCACATAACACTTTTGAGAAAATACCACTTCACTGCAAGTAGCTAAAAATTCTGCTCTTTGGTAGATTTAATCTGTGATATTTCTTCACGTCTCATTAGATCATAGTCTCGGCTGGTAAATGCTTCAACTGCTTTGATTCATATTAATTGATACTTTAGTTAATTTTTTACATAGTTAACGTTGCTACTGAACATTAATACTGGAAGAACTTGCTAAAATTCTAACCTTTTTAGACGTCGGTCTCTGAGGGTTTGGCAGCTCAGGCACAGGGTTGTCGGACAGCTGCTCTGTGGGGCATTTCAAAGTCAATAAATGAATAAGACTACAAATTGTATATAAGATTGAACATAAGTCGATCTTATGTCAGTACAGGAACGTAGTAAAAAAATAGGTTATTTAAATTATGTGTATATAATAACAGCAGACGTGTTGAGTAACGATTTCTTAGACTGAAATGAGAAAGTTAGACTCCAGCATTGACTTCAATTGCAAAATAATTGAAATGACAAATTTTTTTATCCGCTAATGGTTTTACACCAACACTGACAAATCACTACAAGTTGGGGTCGTTTTCAACTAGATTTTCATAGAATTTATTGAAAGTGATAAGGTTTCAATCCCTCAAAATTTGAATGAACATAGTAACAACAATTGGTTTAAAGTCAAGTTGTGTAAAATTACAACGGTGCTCTGATTATCTTTATTGCGATAAATGAACTTTCGGGTGGAATAATGTGCGTTTTAATTAGATGGAACAAATACCTATACACCCAACGGTCAGTCAAGTTCACCTGCCGAGATGTCACGAGGTAGCAGATCCTCGGGGGACCGCATGGCAGCCCCCACCCCCCGTCTCTGTCGTCTGGCCTTGCGAGGTCCACCGCGCAGACTCACCTCACTCACCTGCGCGTACCAACCATGAAATGATGTGATATTAAAGAAATAGGAGGAAAAGGAATGGCTTGGAAAAATAAGGATAAACGAGTGAGTAATAATGGAGGACGAGTAAGAAATGATGAAGCAGAAAAGACGAAAGAGAAGGGAAACAGTGGCAGTTAGTGGAAAAGACTATAGCAATGAAATCGGGTTAAATAATAGACGTGAAAATAATAACGATCAAAGAAAAACGAGAGTTTATATAACGCTGTATATGAATAAACAATTGTTTGTTTGTTCATTGTAACTAAATTGATGGAATTGCTGGTGATTGTATGACTCCTAATGAATACCATGCCAATGCAAAACAGAATTCTTCAATCAAGAAAATCTCCACAATAATTTTGGATAGTCTAAAGGCAACGGAGTCACAAAAATTACTAAATAAGTAACTCGTTATCCAATGTCACATATTTGAGGTATGCAATACAAATATTACTTCGCAATAATTCACATAAACATCACTAAAACACCTAAATGGTCAAATAATGGGAAAATATTACATTCATTTGTAAGATCAACATATTCTTGGCAACAAGGCGAATCAGAAGCTATATACCAACTGACCCCAAATAATGGGAAAATATTACATCCGTTTTTACTATGAGCCTATTCTCGGCAGCGAAGCGAATCAAAAGCTATGTACCAACTGGGGCAGCGCGTTGTCGTCGGAAGTGTCGTGGTCTTCTTCGTCCCCATCGTACTCGCGATCTTCGCTGACACGTCGGCCACGGCAGCCGCTCTGTCCAGCCTCCCTAGCTGGGCTGAGCGCCACCCCAGCACTGCTTTGCGCCACCCCAGCACTGCTGTTCGCCACCCCAGCACTGCTGTTCGAGCTGCACTCGACGCTCGATCTCAGCAAGTCCGAACTCAACTGTCGACAATTCTCATCGCCTGCCGAGTTTATCTCATGCTGCTGGCCGTCGTCCGGAGCGGGTGTGTCTATCGGTGAGTTGCCTTCACTTTTGCCGGTGTCTGCAAGGACAGGAAGTATTTTGGTAAATGCAAGATTCAATGCTACTAAGTTCAATTTTTTAAATTCGTGCAAAATGCCGCTTACAGCTCTCTGGGTGATCTTTTGAGTGAGGACAAATATGCACTATTCCCATACAAAACATAGACGGAGTTGGATATGAATGCACTAAATGCATTCACATTCAAATGTTCCGCCACAATCGAATGGAAACTCTTTCCAAAGTAAGGTCAGAATTCTAACCGCAAAAAATTTACAATCATTGGACAAGTTCGCTTAAATCAATATGGTGTTTAACCCTAATCGCCACGAGTTGTCGAGTCACGCTACAACCACGGGTGCAAATGATTTCTGCCCTTAATTCTGTTGAGTATTTTTCAGGTGTCTTCTATGTTACATACGCTGCGATTATTTTACCAGGCAATATAGATTGTTTCCTATCGAATGCAGTCTTCAAACGCACAATTGTGAACTCGAATCCATTTTTAAAAATTATGAGAATGAAAGGACCGAATTTCTGGCCTCAAGCGGAGCCATTCCCGTGTACGACAACTCCGACCGCTCTAACTTGTGTCTATGTTACCCGTAGGGAGGAGACTGTAAGTTATTCAGGAGTGCGTGTGCCTGAAAACATGTGCGTATTTGTCGCTGGTGCATGTGCAGCTTCAGTACTGGTGCATCTGCATCCTCATCGCTCGTTTCTCTCAAAGTTTCTTTGTTCCTATAGTTTTTTGATCTCATTGTCTGCGAGTTCGTTGCCCGCCATTGAAAGAACTGCATGAAATGATACGCATAAGCGGTGCGGGAAGCTCGAGTCCCTTCCACCTCCGTTGCTCGCTGGACACCGATATCGTGAGTCCGACAGGGGCGTAGCTCGCTGCCGGCACGCGAGTCCGCTTACTCGGTAGCTAAAGTTTATAGGTAGTTTGCTAAATGATCTACATTATCATTGTAGATCAAAATAGCTAAAATATTATTGATCCAACACCAAGAATACATCTAATTTGAAGAGTATTTCGACAGACAAGGCTGTGAGATTCGTGATTAATTTTTTACGGAGGTTATTAGAAAATAAGGGCGTTTTCCCGCCAACCCGTGGCGATTAGGGTGAATGCATCAACAGACCTCATATCATTGGCAACTGATTTGTAAATGAATGACTTATGCAGAGAAAATATCATGAGTACCGTAACTTAATAAATCGCTTGCGTTCTTCAACAAGGCAGAAGATAATTTCTATTTCTTACATTGAACTGACCAGTCTGAGAGAAGAAATCTCGGATTAGGTTCTGTCTCATCTCCTGCCGCTCGGCCCGCAGGTCCTCATCCAACCGCAGCTGGTGCGACACTGACCGCCTCTCGCCGCTCGCCTTCGCAGCTGAGAAATGGAAGCGTAGCCACATATTATAAAAAAAAGCCTGTCTCCATATAATAAAATAGCTTCAATAGACATTAAAGAAACTCACGCTGCCAACAACACATTTTGTAAGTGAATCTTATGTGATTGGCCTGTTAACTGTACCTTACTTCACATCATATCAACGATGTTTACAATCCTTGAGATTGATGATACATACATACAATCATGATACAATCTTTGAGATTTATGATACATACATACAATCTTTGAAATTGAATTCCACGACAAAGTATACAGTACTGAAGCTACTATGCTATGAAGCTATTCCACCCTTCATTTCGAGGTTAAGCTCGACGTAATCAGTCATAGTGTCATAGTTAAGACCTTTAGCTTGGCTGTGTCTCTGCAGCAGCAGGGTCTGCAGCTCCTGCTGTGCAGCCTGGCGCTCAGCGGCGGCTGCAGTGCGTTCAACGCTGCGCTGCAGACACTCCCAGTCTCCAGGTTCTGCCTGCAGGAATTGTGTAATTTGAAAGAAGCAGTACAGATCAGGGGCCGTACCTTCAAAAATAATTACGAGTTTGTAACTCCCTAAGCCAATCACTGACGGCTTTTCAAGCTAAACCCGCCCATCACTGACGGCTTTTCAAGCTAAGCCCGCCCATCACCGACGGCTTTTCAAGCTAAACCTGCCCATCACTGACGGCTTTTCAAGCTAAACCCGCCCATCACTGACGGCTTTTCAAGCTAAGCCCGCCTGTCACTGACGGCTTTTCAAGCTAAACTTGCCAATCACTGACAAGAATCAGACCGCCATGTGTCCCGAAACAATATGTCTACCGACCCCGAGAGCACAACGTAAACTAACTAGCGAATAATAACGATCAAAAGCCCATAACACGACCAAAGAAAATCATTTTTCTCGTAAAAAAATAAAGCTCCAATAAACTGAAATCACGTTAAACTATAAAGGTTCATGTACTCGCATAGCAATTCTTCTCATGAACACGTGCTAATCTGTAGTAGCAACACAAATAGGGACTTTTACAAGCCTAAAACTACATATTTTCAAGTCTAAAACTAATACCTATCAACAATAGGGACTTTTTCAAGTCTAAAACTATTTAGTGAACTGCCTATTAGAGAATACCTTGGCCAGGAGGATATGGAGGCGCCCAGCAGCGGCTCTAGCGACGGAGGCGCCGACGTCGATGGAGTGCAGCAGGAACACCTCGAGGTGGTAGGGCGGGTAGGTCGCCTGGCAATGGCAGGCCAAGACACATGATAATAATTGTTTAGAAACTTTAGAAACTGATTATGTTGATAATAAACACCCTTAGCAGTCCAATTCGCATAATAATATTGTTTATAAATTAATTCTGTTAAGGATATACACCCAATGCTAGAATGAGGTGTATATGTAATATATATAAGATTTCTAGTTCGTCGGCCCAACACGCTGCTAATGCTGTGATTATTTATACATCAGGTAATACTTAATGATGAATGAAATGAACCACACAATGAAAGGTGCCACAAAGATGCTAAATAACTATCAAATATTGGCATTAATAATTGTCCGTGAATGGATTTCCCAATTGTTGGCACAGTAAACAATCTACGCTCATTATTACAGATAGTAACACTCGATTGCAGATGCTTGACACATTAAATGCATCAAGACTTGCATTACTTAGCTTAGAGCTGCTGGCTGTAACGCTGCTGAAATTAACAAAAATAATCATGAGTACATTTTGTTCACGAGTAAATTATTGAACTGAATACTCCCTTGAAGTATTATACTAGCAATATTGGCAAGCGTCACTTTATGGACGACAACGTTTGAGAGCACTGCTTCATTAACGATATGATAGGAAACTAGAATACCGAAATTTACCACAATATCTTTGTAACTAATGTTCATCCTTAAGGAGCCTAGGTATAGTTAGTTAGTTAGTTTAGTGGCCAAATGTTTACTAGCGCTTCAGCTATTTAGCTATCTCGCACAGAAAGTCAAGATGAACATCACCATAGAGGTGGAAGGTCTCAATTATTCATCACCCACCCTAGGAACGCGAAATCCCATAGGACTTCTGACGAGCACAGACACGCGTCAGAAGTCCCCCCTGAGGGGGAGCCTAGGTATAGCCTAATAAATAGTTAAAGTTATTTTGAACAGCAGATATTAACCTGCGATTCATATGCTTATCAATAGAAGTAATAGGTAATAAGAAGTAAAGGAAACCTACAGCTGAACAGAAAGACTACTAGCAGTTCAAGAGAGGCCACCTCATTGGTGGCCTCTCTTGAATCACTGCTCACCTTGAGATACCTGGACGTGACATCGACGCTGAGGTTGCGAGTGCTGGAGCGATGCAGAAAAAGGTCGAGCAAGATTTTATCCGACGTCTGCCTCCAGCTGTACTCCGGCTTGAGAGGCATGCTGCTGGACTGACGCCTACATCCACGCCTTCGTCAGATCAGAGACGAATCTTCGCTGAACTGATGCCTACATCCACGCCTTCGTCAGATCAGAGACGAATCTTCGCTGAACTGACGCCTACATCCACGCCTTCGTCAGATCAGAGACGAATCTTCGCTGTACTGACGCCTACATCCACGCCTTCGTCAGATCAGAGACGAATCTCTGCAGAACTGACGACTACACCCACACCTTAGCCAGATCAGAGACGAATCCTTGCTGAACTGACGCCTACATCCACGCCTTCGTCAGATCAGTGACGATCTTCGCTGAACTGACGCCTACATCTGTGGATTATTAAGTTCATTGGAGGTCCTATACTAAACTGAAGCCTATTCCCATGCCGAAGGAGTACCGAAATACTCCTTCCCCACATTGTAAGTGGGTTAAAAAAAATAAATTCGGTCACACATTTCGCTAAGTTTATATGAAAGTTTCGGAAGCATCGAGTTTTGGCGTGTGGAGCTGCACACGACGGCCAATGCTAGTCACAAGCAACACCAGCTGCCTGCCGACGTCAGAGGTGTGAGCGACATACGGCTCCTCTGATAATAACGTAACTGCCTCAGTGTTGTAATTACAACCGCACAACAAAAATATAGACACAGGAAGTTGCGGCACTATATAAATTTGTTTGAGCAAAAGAGTTAATTCATTGCATTCGATTCGCGCACGCTTAAAAAACTTAGGGTTGAATACCAGTTTTGAATTATCAATCTACAGTGAGGCCTAGTCTTAATCTGGCACCCCCTATCAATGAGAAAACGTTATAAATATTTTTCGAGTGCTAGGCTTACACATTTAAAAATGGAATTAATAGCAGGCTGCTAGCACTTGAGACAATTAGACTCAAGAAAAATCAAATTTTATACGATTAAGTGCACTGTAAGCTGTAGGGCTTATTTCACACAGGTGCATTGTGGCCAGATTTACTAATCTAGTTCAACAAGCATACCCACTCAAAGTTTTTACTACTCGCATTTTCTGACAAGACTAGATTTAGAGCTACATGCCTGCCATTGTCATCAGTAGAATGAATTCATTCAAGTCTATTTTTGATCGAAATTTATATTCAGGTCACAGAATCATATACATAAAATATAACTCCACTCTAAAAATAAATACAAGTCCGACGTTTAGTTAGAAATGGAGATAAATTTCTGCTTAACCATCATAGAAAGAAACAAATGACCGCAGAGCTCGCCAATTTTAAATTCGCGACCTATGAGCCTATTTGTATTGTTTCAGACAAAAATAAAATCTAGTTTGCTCAGCAGCTGGAGTTCGGGGGAGCGCTACAATCCCCAAGCATTCAAACCCTTTACCGAATAGGACGTAAATCTGCCAGGGATATTCCTACACAATATCTCCTCAGAGGCTCAGACAGCAAAAGGTTTACATGCCCTCCTGCGAGGATCAAATGATAATCAATACGGAAAAGAACAACTTTTACAGGAAGAAAGAACAACACAACAAAGCAACAGGAGCTGCACCTCAACAAACACATGGGCAGCAATATCACAGTCACATGAAATTAATGTAACATGAAATTAAAGTCGGTGGATGAGGCGTACCAGGGAAATGATGCATGGATTCACTGTGTAGACTGATGGATTCGTATTGGTGGAACGGGAAATTATTTTAATTAATATGTTAATTATTTTGATAGAAAAAAAATAGTCGTAAAAGTATTGCAATCACGCAATACTTGGTTCATCCAATTATGATGTTCATTTCACTATCATGACAAAAGGGCATCAGTTCGCAATAAAGGCGCCAGGTCTGGATGCAGTAAAGGCAGCTATGGATGCCAGGCAAGAGGTGGAGGTGCTGGGGGAGGAGCGTCCTATGAACTCCTCCAGCAGCCGCTGCGTCACCCGAGGGCGTTCCCCCGATGCCTTGCTTCTGCGCCACAGGTCGGTCGCCGCTGTCTGATACACGCCGAACACCTGGCAATACAGTATCTTCAGTTTATTATTCAATTAATTTCAAGCTATAAATCGGTTAATTTAAGCTGCTAGTCAATTTATTTGAAACAATGAATCAATTATTTTCGAGCTGAAGATCGATTAATTTAAAGCTATAAATAAGTTTATTTTAAGCTGCGAGTCAATATATTTGAAGCCATGAATCAATTATTTTCGAGCTGAAAAAATATTATTTCAATCAATAAATCAATTAATCTCAATTTTTGCATCAATTAATTTGAAGCTATAGATAAATGTTTGTGGATCGATAATGGAGTTGCCAGACAATGAGAGGAAAAATTTTATATCTTTTCTCACGAATAAAAGACAAAATAAGACGTTTTATAGCTCCACATTTCTATGTGCTGTTTCAAGGATTAAAGCACAGAATAATCTACAAAAAAATGTGTTGTCAATTTTATTCATTGAAATATCTAGCTTCATGGCAGGCTGCACGCTCAGATTGATGTGGCATGAGGTATATTCATATTGACAAAATAAGCAAGAAAATGGCAGGTATTACAATAAACTGCATTTCCAAACTGAAGTAATCGAAGGGTTACAATTTCAGTGAACGTTAATTGACTTCGAAATCTCACCATAGAACTGACTTTGTCGTTTACATATCTATAGATTTTAAACGATTGAATCATCAACGCCATTTAACACCAGTCATTAGGCAACAAATTTCATAACATCAGTATTATTGCATGCCGTGCTGAAGTGTTCTGTTCATCGTGTTGGACAAAGGTGTTCACTTTAGCATATTCATAAAAAGCTTTTAACAATTCGTGGCATAGAAATTATACAAAATCAATATTGCTTGAGTTGCCTGTCAAATGAATCAACTGACAATGAATGTTGGTAAAAGCCCGTATTAGTCTCGCATGGCCTCAGCGCCATTGCATCGAGTCAGTGGACATAGTCAGGCTACGTCGATGCATACTGACCTCAGCGCCAGAGAAGCCTTGAGTCAGCTGACAGAGTCGAGCTACGTCGATGCAATACTGACCTCAGCGCCAGAGAAGCCTTGAGTCAGCTGACAGAGTCGAGCTACGTCGATGCAATACTGACCTCAGCGCCAGAGAAGCCTCGAGTCAGCTGACAGAGACGAGCTACGTTGATGCAAGGGTCGCAGGGCTTCCCCTTCAGTATTCTCTGCCACAGAGCACAGCGCGAAGCACAGCTCGGCAGCCCCACCTCCACCACCCGCGTCAGGTACCCCGCTTGCAGCAGCCCCTGCAAACAAAAGCAACTCTGTTGATGAATTCAAGCTTCTACGTGGAATCTATAGGCAAAACTGTTGAGCAATCTTGCTTAACGGAAAAAATTCCTTTATTACTAATTTATAACCGTATTAATTATAAATGTCATATTTTTGAAGGGAAACCCAATAAAAGCCTGCAGTGCTAGTGACCTCATCAATAAGACTGGGCATGTTGGTGGCGCCGACGAAGAGCACGCTGGTGCGGGGGTCGTCAGGGGTGGGAGCGCAGCTGCGCATGAGGTCGAGTAGTAGCGCCACGTGAGCGCCACCTTCAGCTCGGCCGCGGTCGCCACACAGGCTCTCGAGCTCGTCTATGAAGACGATTGAAGGCGCCGACGCCTTGGCGCGCATCACAATGCTGCGCAAATTCTGCTCCGTCTCGCCCACGTACTTCGATAAGATAACCGAGCCCTGCATAGGATAACTTAGTTTAATTTCTGAAACACATGAACAATCAAAACTACAACCAAACAACACGAGAAGGTCGAAGCAGCAAAATGACATCCAATTACAAGGAAGGTCACAGCAGCAAAATGACATCCAATAACAAGGAAGGGCGAAGCAGCAAAATGACATCCAATTACAAGGAAGGTCGAAGCAGCAAAATGACATCCAATTACAAGGAAGGTCACAGCAGCAAAATGGCACCCAAGAGAACGAAGAGGTAGGAGCAGCGGAATTACGTTCTAAGAACATGAGGAATTACAGGAGGTAGGATAGAAGTTAGGAAACAAAAATGAGACAACTTTAACGAGCGGAGAAGAATTGAGAAGAGAGACAACTCCAACGAGCCCGATTAAGCAGGAGCAGCTAATGGCTATCTTTACGAGAACGAGGAGATGGGATGTGCAAAGTAGCAGAAAGAAAATAGGAGGAGCAAACATAAATAAAAAAGCAGGATTAAGGAAGTGGGAGGAGCAAAGAAAAATCTCCTGCAAGTTCAAGGAAGAAGGAGGAGCAAATAAAAAATTCCTAAAGGCTCAAGGAAGTGAAGATGTGATGAAAAATCTCCTGCGAGCTCAAGGACGAAGGAGGAGCAAAGAAAAAATTTCTGCAATCCCAAGAAAGTAGGAGGAGCAGAAGGAAAAAGCTTGAAGCTAAATTTAAAACGTCAAAGAATGAGTAAAATGACAGCCAACTACCACGAGAAAAGATGAGTAAAGTGACAACCAACTAGCACGTCAGGATAAGCTAAGGATAAGTTAAGAATAAGTTGGGGATAGTAAGTTAAGTTACAAGCAACTAGCACTAGGTAGTAGTGATAACTACACTACGACTGTCCACAAGTAGTGACTGACAACTTACGTAAATTTGGAAGTGCGTGAAGCAGGTTTCGGTTACAAGGGCCCTCACAAATAGGGTCTTACTACAGCCCGGCGGGCCATAAAGTATTAGCCCCTGCAGAGGGTTCAGTTCAGGGTCTTCTCGGTAGTCGCGGACCATTTGCTGCGAGTAAATTAGCAACTATACATTAAAACTGTCATGAAAATGAATAAATAACAATATCTTCCATTAACGCCTATTAATCATTTTCAAAACACAGCATAACGTTGCCTCAAACAGTAGATGAGTTGAGGCATGATGCAAAAATTTAGATTATTTTATGATCAGTGCCATTAATGATATCTAAATGTCAATTTTAAATTTTTCTAATCCATTTATTAGAAGATGAACTTTAGTTGCCAATATAAAACACTGCTTTCAGCTAAAACAAAGCCTGCAGTTTCCACCACAGCTATCACCTGGAAGAGTTGTTTCAATGTATCGTAACCCGAGATGTCAGACCAGCGCGTGGGCGGTACGAAACCGCGACCGTTGATGCGGATGTTGTGCGGCACGAAGTTCTGTGGCAGACGCCCGCTGATGCGTCCATCATCCATCTGAAGCAAGAAACATTACGGTAGTGCGGGGACTAAGAAACAGATGTTTATGATGGAATAATTGGTTTTGGATGGCAGTATTTGCTGATTTATACGCGTGCGATCAGTGAAAAGAGAATTTGTTGATTCAAATTATCAGAGATACGGACAATTCTTCAGATGACGTTGGTAGATCAAAAGTCATATCAGGAAGTAGTTTTAGTTTATTAACGACGTTTCGAATGCAACAAACATTCATTTATCTCTGATAATTTAAATCAACGAATTCTCTGGTCACTAATCACACGCGTATAGATGGAATAATTGGATCCTTATGAATAATTAGGTAATTAGGAATTAGAAAGTCTAAAATCTGTAAATGGTGGGTACTACAAAACAGTTGGATAATGTAGAACAGATGGGTACTGTGGGACAAGAAGATACAAAGTAATAGATACTATGGAACGGGGCGAGACTATATAACATATTGATGGTTTAGATCATCTAAACAACAGATAGTTCCGAGTCACTCACCAGTTGCTGGTGGATCACCTCCAGCACCTCCAGAGCGTTGCAATAATCCGTGGCTGTTGCCAATGCAGCCACTTCCTCAGCTGTGAAAGTTTTCCTAGACGTGGAAGCCCCTTGTGCTTCCTTCTCGGCCGAAGTTACGTTTTCCATGCCATTTGATTCATTTGAACTTTGTGATGTTTTTCTCAATGGAACCCTGCCGATTCTGGTTAATATTTTAATTAGTTGTTGTTCAATATCAGCTTCGCCCGCTTGTGACGAAGAATTGTTGCAGGGATCCTCAATAACGTCAACCTTGGAGCCAAGATGATAGCCATGCTCCTTAATGAGACAGTCGCGTATGATGGCTTCACGGAGCTGAGCGTCAGGCAGGCTATTGAAGACAGTGTATCCAAGATACTTGAGCACTTTGCTGCTTAATCTTTCAATTTTATTGCAAGTGCAGACAGTCACTACTGCACATCCCGAATCCTGAAATAGTGAAGAGTTGGCTTTGATTGTGTCAGCACTCAGCAGAGATGGCAGCTCTAATTATTCATGTTAATGAGAACGAAATTTTGCAGCTCAATATTACAGCGTTTGAAAACCTGAAACTCTGTTCGATGCAAGTAGTTTTTCAGCAAAAAAAAAAAAATTGGCCAGCAGGCAGTACTGTCACAATGTAGAAAATTTCGAAATTATTTTGTAGCTATCATATCAGTATTACCTTTACATTCAGAATGTTCATCAACCTATAGAGAAAATTAAAATCCAATGCGATACCCAAACCGGCAAATCAGACAAGGCACACTGAGTATCAACTGCCTTCTTCAAATTGTAACGCAAGTTTGAAAGACTAAATGAAAGATGTACATCACCTTCAGAGTTTGAAGGGCATTGAGCAGGTTTGGGACAGCAGTGTTGGGTTTACCATCTACCATGTCTCTTAGCTGCAAATCAGCAACTTGGACCAGCACTAGTGAAGGACTTCTGTGCACACAATGAAACGGATTACAACAAGCTCCAACAACAATATATGGAATACACTGAAACTCGTCACGATAGGCAAGCATCACAAATGTGCGTCAATCAAAGGTGGACTTATGACTACAAAATATTGTTTTCAAACTCGATATTCTTTGAAAATGTCACATCAGTTCAGACTGAGAGCATTTTTAGCGCATTTTCTCATTAATGGAAAAAAATGCGCTATTGTGCTCGTCATGTCCGTCCGTCCGTGACGGACGGACGGACGTGAGAAAATGCGCTCTCTGTCTCTCACTGCAGTGAGTACAGATCTAATTTTTTTACACCTTGTTTAGACATCAAATTGTGTACGAGTGTTTCCAATGAAAACGTAATATTAAGAGAAATAAAAAATTATTATCATTCAGTATCTTAAAATTATTTCACCTTATTATTTTCTCAGCTCAAAGTTTTCTCATAATTTGATGAAGTAATTGATTTCAAATATGAGGCGAAAACTGAGTGGTCACCTTCAATAGCAGTACTAACTAACAAGAGAATTAATATGCACAGTGAAAATTCACTCTCCACATACCTATAGGAAAACGAGGAATACTTAAATCAATACTTACTTTTTTCTTGCCTCTTCATACAATTTATTGACTTCTGTGCTATTGGTGAAGTTGCACCAGGCTTTAATAAAGGTTAACTGCAGCTCATGAGCGACATGTTCAGCCATCAATGCATGCTCTTTAATATATGTACCGTGCAGCACCACACCACACTTGGCTGTGAGACAAGGATCTCTTCCTGCAATATACATATGGATCTAAATATTGAGCAATGACATTAGACATTAAATAGCCTTAACTTACTGCTCAGGTTCATTATAACAAATTTCAAGAGGAAAAAGATTCTTCCAAAATATAAACAATGAACAACTGCATAAAAAACACTGATATGATTAAAATGCAAAAATTGAACATACCTCTAAAATTATTATTACAAAATTTTCAAACATAGAATTGATGTCATAATTAATTGATGAAATTTCCCAGAGAACAATATTATGACGAAAAGAGCTGTCTTATTCATAATCATGTCAACATTTATACTCACCAAATCTCCCTAGCAAATAAAGGCAAGCTGAGACCTTTTCTAGAAGAAGCCTATATGGAGGAGTTGGGTAGTAGTAGAGCAGCTCATCTTCACATTTTTCAACTTTCTTCACACAATCCAGGGGATTAAGATATTCAAAATTAAGTTTTGTTCCTTCAGTTAAGTAGAAATAAGTTAAATCTTCACTTTCAAGTATTTTTGCAGGGGCTGGAGACTCTTGCATACTAAAAGACTGTGAAATGCTGTGCACAAAAACTTCAGAAGTTGACTGCGTACTTTCAGGAGAATCTTTTTTAAACAGGCATTTGGGTGATCCAATTGGTTCAAGTTTCTCTCGTGAATCAAATATGTTAGGAGTATAAGGCACCATCAAATCATGGGACACATCAGCAATGGAGGTACAAGTTTTAATCTCAGGAGAAAGCAAAGCACTTTCACCAGTTACATCTTGTGCATTAGTCCTGCTAACACAAGATGATGGTTGAGTGTCGGTGTCATTTGCAGGACTTGTTTGATATTCACTCTCAGATTTAAACCCTTCAAAGTAACTATCGGCATTGAAAAAGTCAAATTTGTCAACTTTATCTTCATGTTCTTTTACAGGAGAGTAAATGCCATTATCTTTCAAAGTATAATATGAATGTTGACAATTATTTGGAGCAGCAGAGATTGCAGTAATGGTGAAATGAATGTGTGTTCTTAATTGAAGTTTGGAAGATTTCGTGAATAGGAATGGATGGCCAATCCATGGAGAAGATCTGGGTTTCATGGTGTGCTTGATGTGACACTCACACATGAAAATTGAAGGACCTGGAGCAGGTAAGCAAAATTACACACTCAATTTTATACACATGTTTTTTCTATGATAACTGAAGTATAAAAAACTTTCAAACGTTCACTATAACATTCTGAGTAGTACGTATTTCTCACAAATTATAGGTAGTTTTCTTCTACAAAACTCACCAATATCATAATGGTAGTTAGGCATCAATGTTATGCTTTCTGCAGGAATTAGATTCTTTATAGACTGAAGGGTAATGCGAGCCTCACTCAAAGAACTAAGTACAGTGGCTCTGGAGACTGTTGATGGCAGAAGATGTTTCCACAGACCTGAAGAAAAAAACCAAGATGAACCCAAGGAGTGTGGCAGCTTGAAGGAATCCTTTGTTTATTGAATGTTAGAAGGCAAGAATAATTGTTTTGTATAATCAACACACATCCTGAATAAATTGAGTAAAGTAAGTTGAGTTCAATAACATTTTTATAATTTTGGAGTAACTAACTTTCAATTTATCAGGCTACTAAGAAATATTTTCAAGAAATGAACACATTCTACATGAAAACTTGCAGCAACAATAAAGAAAGATGATTAAACTTGAATCTGAGTAAAATTATAGTCCAGTATTTACAAACCTTGTTCATAAATGAAGGCATTGTTCTTGGGTAGAGACTTCAGGCACCAAACAACAAAGCAGGGAGCTGCATACTGAGGATGAAGTTCACTATCTTCATACTCAACATTGAGCAGCCTTACAACAACGGGCTGTTGACACGTTACACCCACATCATGGGCTGTGTCAGGGTGGCATAACACAAGTCGGTGGTTGCTTGCAGACACCACCTGCGTTTCAAAATCTTGGATAAACAAGGAAAAATCATTAAGTGAAAGTTTTGCAGCTCTACTCTATAATATAGTATAGGAGTACCTATATATAATTCTACTCTGGAATGGGTATTGGCACCTAGGTACGAATTTTTTTAAACTTAACGGTTTAATTGGGATCTTGTCAAAATATCATAAGATTTTATACTTTAGCCTGATAAAATGTAAGGATCATAACAATCAAAATTGGTGAAAAAATATCTTCTCAACTGCATGCGTACTGTAAGCACTGGTTTTTATTATTAATTATGGATAACCTTGAAAATAAGTGGAAATATTTGTAATACATAAGGAAAATCACATCAAAAGAAACTCTTTAACAAACTAAACAAACAAATATAAATACTGAGAATCAGAAAAAATCTGTAATTTCTAAAGATTTTTGAGGCAGCAATGCCAAACTCACAAAGTCACACATAATACAGTACTCACTCACCTGAAGGTAATCCAGAATATATTTTATTGTCAGTTGAACTATTGCTAGTTTCTTCTGCAATTAATTTTAGCTTGAGTGACTTCATTCTCACAAATATTGTAGCTATGGATTATTGAACTGATTGAAAACTAGAATGGTTGAGATTCAACATTTATAGTTATCTGTAGGGATTGGAGTTGGGCCTTTTAATATCGATGACTGCTTCATAACATTAACAAATATGTATATTTTGTTGTTTATTTACAACAAAAATACAAAACCACATTAAGCTCTCATTGTGGGAAAGCTCTACTTGCAGATTGAACAGTAAATATATAGGTTTTACATGCCAGAGTGGACATCATGGCTCAGTGTAACAAGCAGACAATGTAGACAGGACAATTTTAAACATGACATGACAAAATATTCAGGCAAGAGCAGTTGCTCATCATATAACATCATGACACATTAATTTAAAATTCTATGAACTAATATAAATAATATTATGGATATCAAATAAATATGGATATTGGATATATGCTGTACGGTATCTACATTTTAGCACACCTATCTACAGTTCTCGGAGCCTGCATGGCTTTAAAATTTACAGTTAAAAAATGAAAAATTCTCTTTTTCGCATCATCATCGCAGCTTCCACTCCCAAAATTTTATGCAAAGTGAATTGTACATTAATAGACTTCTTAAGTTAGTTTTGAGCTCTTGTCTTCTTCTTCTTCTAGTTTTTGTCAAATTTGAAGCTTTGAAGACGTATCCATGTAGCCCCTAGGTGGAAAGAAATAGCATGTGCAGATCAGGACACTGCAGAGAAACTTAAAAATTTGTAATATCACAATTACCTATTTTAAATGAGTTAATAATTTGCAGGAAAGCAAAAGTTTCTTATAAGATTATGATTTGCAAGAACAAGGATTTTCAAATGTATTATGGTTTATTAGATCAAAATTTTCCAGCAATGTTATTATTCATGTCAAAAGTCTTCAACAATTATAGTTCATTAGGTCTGGAAATTTTATGCAAGTTTTTACTTTGTTGGAACACAAAAGTTCAAGTTAGGCACCTTTTGTAAGTTCACATTACATCTTAGGAAGACTGGGCTTAGTAATTAAGCCGATAGTTCACAAGATCAGATTATCAGACAAAATCTGGTCTCCACGTTGATATATGTAGAAGCTCACTCTCATCAGTTACTCCAAAATATTCCAGACAGAATGTCCCCAGGTTAGGTTCTACTCAAAACATGCCATATTTCTGACTTCATACAAGTCACTGCACTGGCAGAAGGACCAGCCTGCACCACTTAACCGAGAGCTTCTTGGAGCCGAAATTTGCCAATTTACAAAGTTTATGACCGGAAAGCAATGAATAAAAATAAAAGTCTTGTATGGGCAGGGTTCTGATGGATAAAGGTAGCAGCATCAGTTAGGTAGAAGGCAAACAAAGGGACTCCATACAGGGAGCAGTCATTACAAAATTTGAGCTGTGTAGAAAGCCTCAGACTGCACACCAGATTACACTTGTAAAGGTGCAAGGGGAATAATAAGTACCTACCATATTACCAGATTTTTATTAGTTCCACAGAATGTTAGTGGGAGTATACTCAAGAACAGTCAACAATGAAATTCTTTAAATACAAAGTGTGCAAATTTACCTTAATACAATCATTTATAATAATCCTCAAGCAAATGCATGAAATAATCAAGTACATAGTTCAAAGGAAGTTAAATAGCTATTAGTTTGTAAGTAGAAAGAAGTTAATTGGAAACAGCCTCAATGATTGTATTCTGTCTCTCAGGAGAAGGTGCCACCTGCCATAAAATTTGTGAGCAAAAGATTTACATTGAGTGAAGCAAGTGAGCAAGCTAGATTGTTCCAGGCAACTCAATGGAGCAGACAGTAAAGGAGCAGATTCTCTATTGCTTCAGCCTTAGCCCCACACAAGCAACAAAGACTGTCCAGCAAGTTGAAGTGCTCAAGAGTAATCTCGTTAGACTGAATAGAGATGTTATCCATTAATATATTGAGTCTTGGAAAACATAGTACTTCTGTGAAAATGTTCAAGATCTCTTGTGAAATCCATGCAACTGCTTTCCTGTGTAATTCCATGACAATTATTACTCGTAGTACACCTATTCTGTACCTTAAATTTCCAGTTGGGTCAGTGCCCATGTCAGGTTAGTTGAGTTAAAAGAAATAAGCTGCAGGTTTGCTGAAATGATGGTAAGATCATGAGTTAAGAATGATTTAAGATAGCCTTTGAAATATAAAGGCAGGTCTGGCTGGAGGTGTGAGCTTGATTAGAGACTATTCTTGGTTAAGGAAATTTCGTTTTATTGAGGAAAAATTTGGTTAATTGTTCCAAGACTGTGACGATGATGGATGTCGTCCTTTTATTCCTATTTGCATATAATCGTTGTACGATATTTGTCCACGCTATTTATTGAACTGTCCGCTTTAAAACTCATGGCAAACTATCAATTTTTAATTTGTCCTCGGCAGAGTTTTCTTCTCATAAAAAACATTTTAAACTGTCAGGTTGGTTGTATGGGATTTTACGTTATCCGAGTGGTCAAAGAGGCGCATAGAAAGTTCTCTACTACTACTGGCAGTGCGATTCAACAAGGAGAAAGACACACACATTTATCTCAAACTTCATATACTAAAAAGGAGCACTATATCCTACACCTAGTTACAGATTTAGGCACGGTGACAATAACGAGAGCCCAGGCTTACTTGCCCGAAAGAAAATCCTATCCTATACCGAGCTGTCATGAGACAACAAAATGTTGACAATGTTACTAACAGACACGGAATTAAATGTAATTAGATCGTGAGGACTGAACCAGGTGGCTACATGAGAACGCTATATCTTATCAACTTAACATGGGTACATCACCGCTTAAATGCCGCGAATCCATCTGATCTCTGCCTGTGAGACTGGTGAGTTTCGGCTCTTGACAAAGCTCTTTGGGCGAGGGTTACTGGGGACGTCTCCTCGACGACAGTCGGCGGTCTTATAATACGGCTATAGTAGGCTGGACGCTCAATCGGGGTGTATTTTCTTCGCTGGAGTTCAGGCAACTTGCAGAAACTATCTTCGTCGATACGTGGTGTTCAACTAGTTGCAGGACACGGCGTGTTAAAATGTTCTCTCTGAACGGTACTCGAGGCTCACGATACTTGCGATAAACGGCGTGTTAAAATGTTCTCTCTGAACGGTACTCGAACTCGCGGTCGGCCCGCGCTCTCCCTTAAATACCGCGCCGGTCTCGCGCAGCGCTCTAGCTAGGCGGTTCCGAGCTCCTCCCTAATTTTATGTAAAATTTATTCCTATTCCTAATCAAGCAGCCTAGCAGGGCTAGCATTGGGTTACAAAGTAAGAACACCATCAAGTTCCTAGTTTCCCACCAGTACCATTCATGTTACTGTGTTGGCATTCCAACCATAGTTAAAATTATTGTTTGCATTGAAGTTTGCATTGAAGTTTTATTGTGCAGAGATTCATTTTATTCAAATACTAGCTAATTTTATATTGAAACCCTTCCTCCCTTGTTTATGTATCTAACAATTTTTCACAACACACAACAGATGTGTAAATCTCAAATTTTTTATGGTCACTTATCATCTTGCGGTGCCACAACCATGTAGGCATGTAACTTTAAATTATTCTATTTACTTCTGTAGAGTCATATTCAGAGTGGGATTTGAGGAAGTGCTCGGGCATTTAGAGCCCCAGCACTCCAGCAGGCACACAGTACTGCTCCAACCTTGACCTCGAGGATGGGGGGGTTGCAATTCTAGGGCTCAGGGCTGTACGGAGTGACTAGGGTATCATCAAACAGGGTAATAAGGGACGGTTTTGAGCATTTTTCAGTAATAACTTCCTACCATTAAACATTTCATAAACAAGTTTGGGCTCATTTCAAAATTCTTTGTAAGGGCTATTGAATGGCATCTCCAAAAAAAATTCTGTATGCTATTTGTAAGGTGCCAGATGCAAAATAAAAGAGTCCCGAATTACCCCTGGGAACGGGGTAATCCGGGACACTTGAAATAAAATTCAATTTTAAAATGTTTGAATCATGCAAAGTGTACTTGTTCATTACTAACAGTACTCTGAATTCCTCCTCTTCCTTTGTAGATGATGTAGATGTAGAATATACATTTTCTGCGTTGTTTACTTGTTTTTCCATTATTGATATATTACCATATCCATAGTCCATACATTATCATATTATTAATGTGATATTACCGTAGGAGTATCCATGGACATGCCATTGTGCATTTACAACGACCTTGTCCACTGCAAGCTTCATATCAGCAGCCGTGGTGTATAGCACTTTTCTGTATCTGTAGACTGTAACTGTAAGCTTATAGGACAGCCTGTAATTTCACACCATTTTAATTGGGTCAAGTGAATTTATTATAACAAAAAAATATATCTATATCATCTTCCAGGTCTGGCAATGGCAGTTGGTCAGTTAATGTTAATGTTGGCACGTCAGAGGTTTTGGAAATGTAGATCGAGCTGTTTGGCTCTGGCCATCTTTATCAGCAATTGGCAATGATTGGCTTTGTGGGTCGGCCTGTGAATGCTTTGGTTGTTTATGAGAAGTTCTCTGGAGCGTTGATGACGCGGTGTCACGGTCACAGAAGAGCAGTTCGTCATTGACAAACTGCCCCCTTACGTCAGTTATGTGGCCGCTTCTGCCAATGCAACGGCATCCTTGAGATAAGGAGCTTCTAGCCTTAAGCTTTTGCTCCACACACCTATCTATATTAACAATATCAACTATATATATTTGTGATTTGCACAGCTGGGAAGACAGGCACAGAGCACAGTAACTTACGTCCGTCTTCAACCGTGGAGCCTCGGCAGTCAGCCCTAAACATAGTGTGCAAGTACCAAGTACTGAGCGCGGACGCTGAAGGTAGTCGGTCAAGTGCGGACACCGAATGAAGTTGGACACCGCGGAATACTCATGGCATGGTTCCTGATGATTGAATTAGTATTGACTATTGACCCATAAGAAGCTCATTTTTGCGGATGTAGTTTGCA